TAGAAGTCTGGATCCTGCCACCTGTTCTGTTCCTGCCTGATCTGGATCCTGTTCCTGTCTGTTCCTGCCTGATCTGGATCCTGTTCCTGTCTGTTCCTGTCTGTTCTGGATCCCTGACCAGAATCGGCTTCCAGCATGTCCTCTGGGACTGCAGCACTTGGGGACATTCTTGGACTGGACTGTTAAACCAGGTTAGTAGCCAACTCAGATAATCATCTTCGGTCAGATGATTGGGGTAACTTTCCTGTGTTTCTCCTGCAGAGTGTCTGTGATTGGGCGGTGCCCTGCTCCCCATCCTGCAGTGTCGGCGAGCCACAGCTCCACTTTAGTTTTTGTTTTATTTTATAAACTTTTTGAACTTTCCTACTGACTGTCTCTCCTTGAATACTGGGTCCATCTGTCCGCTTTCATGATGCATAGCTTCTTCCCATAATAAACCGGATTTTATCCGAACATTTTACTGTTTAACCAAAGTGTCTGTAATCTGACTACTTTTCCATTGTTGTAAGTAAGGGGGGGACGAACGCTGCTCTAGCAGAACAGGGCAGAATGCTGTGCCATTAGGGCTGTATGATGAACTGCTCTCTCTTTGCAAAGATATGAATAAATGTGCCGATTGAGTGAAATCCATCGATCTCCTTTTATTTAACTATTATGAATAGTTGAATACTTTTTCCCACGACACTATTTTTATGAAAATAGTTTTTATGTAAATAGCTTGTTGCACTTTAAAGCTACAGTGTGTAATAATTACAGGGATATACAGTCAGAAATGTAATATATTATACATAACTATGTTATTTATCATCATCTACGAGCTCTGCCTCTTAACCTTAATATTTGCGTTGCCTGAGAATTTCTTATTTATAATTACATAGGAGCGGGTCTCGCAGCCATGGAGGCAGACATCTTTGCGCTACGGCAGCGCAGAGCCAACAAACTAGCGATTGCGAGATCGCCCATTACGCTCGAAAGTAACTACGGCAAGTTGAGAGAGATGAACTGAGACGGTACTGAACAATAGATGGCAGTAATAAAATTATCTATGTAAATAAACCTCATCACTTGAGAAGGTAGGTGATGCGGACGTCGTGGAAGACATTTTGTCCCGTAACGCTCGCCGTACTGTTGGGGGGAGAAGCGGTGGGGGGAGATGTTCATGTTGCTGTGGTCTGCAGTCTGAACGTTAGATGTCGCTAAAAATTACACACTGTAGCTTTAAAGGGGCCTTTGCACTTTATTAAAAACTAGCTTGGTTAGCACTAGGACACTTTATTTAGCACTGCAGTTTAAGAATAGATTTGTACTTAAAGAACAATTTGCACACAAGGTTTTTAAAATGTTTATTGAATATTTATAGTGTGTTTTAATAGCTAGCATGTAGCCTTTTGCTCCAGGCTCTCCACAGCTGCTCTCCATTAACAAGTGGGGTGGTTGTCTGTGGAAAAGAGAATTGATGTTTAGAGTAAGCAAGGGTTACTGTTTAGAAACTTCAGCAAAAGTTAGTGTAAAGTCTGTTAGAAGTGAGTGCAAAAAAAGTGTTGTGGTGCTAGGACTTACCTACCTTTTCTATGTTCTCCCCCCGGGGGTCCAGACACTGGGAGAGACCATGGAATTTTTTTCATACAATGTCCAGGTTGGCGGGAGTGGTGGTAACCTGGCCGCCTCCTGGCTCTGTTTGGTTTTAGTGGTGAGGGGTTGCCTTTATCAGCCTCTAAACGACAGGCAATGGCAAGCTGTTCACTGTTCTGACCAAGGCGCACAGTTCTGACCAGGTGGAAGGGTGTGGCTCTTCCAACTCACAAGCAGTGGTTATGTGACCTCATGTCGTGTCTGAAACTGGAAAAAATTAGGTGTTCTATTTGACATTCAACTGGTAAATTGAAGAAATATGGGGGCCCTTTCTTGACTCATTCCAAAACTTACAATAATGCTCCGGATTAAAAAGGTTTATTAGATTTAATAAAATGTGTTCTGTTTCAGTCAGGGATAGGAAAGTAGTGCGTTGACCTCTTGGTAGTGACCTGGGTGGGCTAAATGGGATTTCCTTGTAGGGATTGTTTTTTCTGTATATTTTATGTCTATCTTTGCTGGATAAATGTTTTTTTGTATTTACAAACTGTATGTATAAAAGGAAAACTCAATAAAAAGACAGTTATTAAAGTAGAAAAAATATAACCGCGGATGTCTGGGGGACAGTAATTCGCCTACATGTTATGAATGCTGGGATGCCAAAAATGCCATAAATGATAAATTGTGAACAGTTTAGTTTGTGCCTTCAACTCGTTGCCCATAGGAAGACGTTACTTGGATATAACCTAACAGAATACCTTCAGAACATCTCCAAATGACACAAAACTCATATGGGTCAGAACATGAAGTGATAACGTAAAATCAAGGGCCCAATGTAAAAAAAAAAAGAAAAAAAAAACGGCTTTCTCCTTTAACAGAACCAAGACCATAACAGTACCCCCGACTTGATGGCGGATTCTAGACTCCATAAAATGTCCGAAAACAAAAACAAGCCACCCAGGATAGGCGGAGGGGGAACCAGGAAGGAGGGCACAAAACAAGGAGGGGGGATTCTCATTGGTTCTAGTTGGGTGACTGGCATGCTAGGGGGTTCTGGTTCGGGGACTGGCTCGCTACTGGGCTCTGGCACTAGGTGGACTGGCCCGCAAATGGGCTCCGGCACTAGGGGGACTGGCCCACAAAAGGGCTCAGGATCGGGCCCGCTAAAGGGCTAAGGCTCGGGATCTGACCTGCTAAAGGGCTCTGGCTCGGGATCTGACCTGCTAAAGGGCTTTGGCTCGGGATCTGGCCCGCTAAAAGGCTTTGGCTCGGGATCTGGCCCACTAAAAGGCTCCGGATCTGGCTTGGGATCTGACCCGCTAAAAGGCTCTGGCTGAGGATCTGGTCCGCTAAAGGGCTCTGGCTGAGGATCTGGTGCGCTAAAGGGCTCTGGCTGAGGATCTGGTCCGCTAAAGGGCTCTGGCTTGGGATCTACTGGCTGGCGGGGAGCTGATGGAGATGGCAGGAAAGGGAAAAGGTCTTCCCTTTCCCCATAAAAGAAGTTCTATAACTGGGACTCCTCGAGATGTGGAGCTCTGACTGCCGGAAGGTGTGATATTAGGACCTGGTTTGAGTTTTCTTATGTTTGAGACTAGCTGTTGGTCAAGGAGGTGGAATCCAGTAGTGGATGGAACTGATGAAGGAGAGGCAGAACAGGCAGCAGCTGCCAGTGAAGTAAATAGTTGAGGTCGAGGTGGAGGAGGCTTACCAAAAAGCTGAGCAACGGCAGCCTGATAATTTCCCTCCAGCTCTTCCAAAATTTTCAATAAATCTAAGGCAGACAGGAATGGAGATTGTGGGGTTAAAATTTTTTTTTTGCTCTGTTGCGGCGGCTATCCTTCTCCAAAGTGGACTGAGAGTGACGATGTTGTCCAGAGTGATCCGAGTGTTTTTTTTTTAAACTCTGCTGGGTACTTATTAAAAATATAAAGGACAATCTATTCCCAAGTGGATCATCTAAATAAGTGGTCCTCCTAACTGTCAATCATTCTGGTGATATGTTTATGTAAGGCCGTCCTACGTACTTATCTCGTTAGCTATCTTTTTCTGCACATGCACACTTTCAGGTGAATATCTGCGGTGAGCTACGGTTTTAGACAGCCATTGAATCTCACTTTTCTCACCGCGGTTCTTTGAAAATGGCCGAAGTTTATAAGAGAAAAAGTGTCTACGAAGTGTATAAGAAGAAAAGAAAGAGAGAGAGCTCTCCTGGCAAAGCATTATGGGACTTACTGCCACAGCAAAATTCTTCTTAGGCTGTTGCTACCTGACAGCAGAGACTAATAACAAAGATGGCACAGACCCCACGCAGTGGAGAAGTTATGTGACCAACGGAGAGAACAAAGCAGAGATTATCTGTCCGAACAGTCAGTTACCTGAGTTCAGTATATAGTCCCTGCTCTATATAGTGATTGAGGGATTTAGGGGTTAGGGGTGACATTCGGGCACAGTAAGCTTGTATGAGCTATGGGAACAGAGAATGCACAAGCCCATTTCTCCTCGTGCACGCTCTGTTCCCATAGCACGCGTTTAATAGGCGTTCCCTCTCAGGTACAGGGTTGTTCATGTGGTTTATTTTTTTTAAATTGGAGAGGGAGGGTCTTTTCAAAAATTCGCAAAAATCCTCCACTATACCTTTAAAGTGGAACAGTATTTCATTGGTTAGTCTATACCTAAAAATGTTTTTGATTCTTAGAAAAGAAAGTCAAACTATTATTTTCTTATTGTTTTTTATTTATTTATTTATTTTTTAATTCTATATGTGTAAGAGATTCCAAACGTATTTAAATAAAGAGGTCAAGTTTTGCCACCTGCCACGACATTTAAGAGGTATATTTACAGTCAATTTCTAAATTCACAAAGCACAAACTAGGCTAGAAAAATGCTTGTGTGATAAAAGATTACAATTTATTTAGGGAGTTTCCCAAATCTGAACCTAGAATCTGAAAACAATTTGCATTGTAGGTGTGAATTTGAACTTATAGAGAGAGTTACAGTCTAAGGTTTGTATTTGTAGAATGTAAAGAAAATACAAAAAGTACTTTTTTTTTTAAACTGTTCAAATTTTAACTACCATTAAACAAATTCTGTTCTACAAGTTGCACATCAAAAACGTCTTACATTATCAGTTTTTTTATGTGCAGGTGTAAAGAAAAAAGTGTGAATTGTTTTATTCTACAAATACAAAACTCTCTCTACAGCTTCAAATTCACACATACAATCCACAAATTGTTTTCAAACAAAATAAACTTCATACAGTAGTGACATTGAAACTATTTAATTTAAAAGTCAACACATTCAATTAATTAATCTAATTAGACTACAAAAACAAATTCGTCACAAAGCGAGTGACAAAAAAGATTTATTTTGAATGTTAAGATATGTAAAGAAAAACATCTGCATTCTTTAATGTGCGCATGCGCAGCCAGCGGTTCGCGATTGCGCCAACTGGAAGAGGATGTTGTTAGCAGGCAGTGTAGATGCACAGCCTTTTCACAACAATAACATCAACTAATATTTGCATCTTTACATCCCCGGACTGTGGATTACACTTTGTCAACCTCTTCGGATCCGGATATTGGATAACAAACCTTACATTTACACATATTTGAAGTTCTGTTTTCTTTAGACAATGGAACAGGATGGGTTTGCAGGTCTACTGGACTGTTTTTTCGCTAAAGCAGAAAAAAGAGTCTTTCCTTGCCAGCTAGGCCGCAGAAGATTTTTGTCACGATGAACAAGAGTCGACTGGTGGTAGAATATTGGATTACTTGTCTATACGTCTATAGTTTGCAGCTGCTTTGGAACATAAGCGTTTATAGCGATATTATCGTTCTTTTCTGCCGTTTTAGTTTGAGCCGACAACTGAAGCTAACGAGCCCGTTAGCTTCTCAACCTTGAGTGGCTGTCTAGTCCCAGTAGGTAGCTGGCTAGCTAGCGCTCTCTTAGCAACCTAAGCAATTGGGGTTAAACTTTTCGTTGGGCTCTACGTTCACCAGAGGGTTCCCCCAAGGATTTTGGCTCCACCATTTGTTTTTATTTTTTTCGAGGTTGCTTCTGGATGAATGTGGAACAAAATGGAGACGCCGACGATTGTGTACGATTTGGATACCTCTGGAGGCTTGATGGAGGTAAGGTTGTTAAGCTAGAAGGCCTCAGTAGAACTACAGCGATGCTTATATTCTGTTTTCTTCTGCTACCGATTTCTGGTTATTATAAATAAGATTGTGGTTCGACAAGTTTTTTGTCGAGCATGTCGATCTCCCAGTAAGGTCTGTATATGGGAATCGGTATAGAGGCCACAAATTGACTCTGCTTGTCGCGCACCATTCACTGTTTCTTATGGTACTCGGTACTATTATTTCCGACTGTTTTGTATTTGCATGTGCATTTATTGTGTTTTTTTGGGGGGTGGGGATCTATTTGACAGCAAATCCAAACTCTGTTGGCACCTCCGAAGTCAGAAGATGTTGAGAAAAAGAGTCGGAAGCTTGTAAGAGACGTTCGGAGAAGCGGTAGGGCCACAAACCACGACACCTGCGATAGCTGCCGTGAGGGGGGAGATCTGCTGTGCTGCGACCACTGTCCAGCTGCTTTTCATTTACAGTGCTGGTGAGTAACACAGACACTTCACATGAAAGCGTGTTAAATTGGTTCGCGGTAAACAAAACAAAAAAACCTTTGCGACCATACCACCTCCTGTACGGCTATAGCATTGACATTATTTACACATTATCTTATTCATTGGCAAATGCTGATGTTTAAGCTTCATTATTACATCCTGTTGGGGAATCTCGAAGCTTAAATTAGGCATGCATTCTATCTAATGTAGTATAAATGATTTGATTAAAAGGCTTGTAAGAATGTTGTAGGTGCTTCTTTCGTCCGGTAGGGGGCAGCATTAGCTCACTAGCTGCTGCCTCCGCGGCTGCTACAGTCTGTATAGGCTGTGTTGCTAAAAATGGTGTTCACTGTGCTCATGTTTACAATATGGCGTACTCCAGCTTTTTGTCCCCGGTCAAGCGCCATCTTAGTAACTAGCGGCACTGTTCGACACCGACGGATGAAAAGTCAGTAAATGAGCTAAAAGAAGCATTTTCAGACTTTAGGATAGTCCTGTTAGTCCGATGATACTTGTGTTTTTCCATCCTGAGTTCCGCTCAGTTTCTTTCACCAACATCTTTTCGTATCAACAGTAACCTGCCTCCTTGTCATTTAATCTTTGTATTTGATGTATTGATCTGCTGTGTGTTAAATGGATGGATTTGACTGAATATTAGGCTGTAGAGCATTAAGGTATGTGTAGTTTGAGTGGAAGCAGGCTCCAATGAGCAGCGGTGTTTTTATGTAGTACAGTTATGCGGCCATGAGATGGAGTCAAAGGAACTGCTTTTATTGAGTTACATAAACCCTTAAAACTGTTTGAAAGTATTTTCTTTATATTATAGAAATATAAACACATAATTCATAATTCCCACAATAGCATTTGCATTGAGGTAACAATTCCACTCCTCTAGGAACTTTGTGTCAAAAACATTAACTATTTGGTGAAGCAGACTTTCAAAATAAAAAAATCAGACAAATTGAGATATGTGTCAAATAATTTTTATTTCTTTTTATATTTTTATTTTTCACTGTTAAATTCTTACTGTTGTGTTTATAGGTAGACAGTTTTAAGATCTGTCCAGGAACAACAGATGAAAAATAACCTTTGGCTAATTCTGGTGCATTTCCATAAATGGTTATTAATGTACACTGTCCCTGTTGAATACATAAGTAAATCTTTAAATTGCATTAAATCTTAGTACAAAAACAAGTTCTTTTGTGTGCAGGCATCATAAATCAGTCTACCAACTCACCATCTTTTTGTTTTTTTCTTCTTTACCGTAGCAACCCACCACTTAGTGAAGAAATGCTTCCTCCTGGGGAATGGATGTGTCATCGCTGTAATGTGAGAAAAAAGGTAAGGTGTGGAGTTATAAGGTTGTTTTTTTTGACCCCAAACAGACATGTACTCCTCTCTTCTTTTCATATCCTCTGAATGTATGCACAAACCTTGCAGATATGGAACAGATTGGACATATCTTCCCTCATACAGGGTTTCATTAGAAAATGTTATTTTTTAAATTAAGGCTTTAATTGGCATTAAAATTCATTAAGTGTGATTATTGTGGCATTTACAATTCTTTAACTATTAAAAGAATATGGTTATAAAAACAATTTTGTCAGATAGCCGTATGTTCGGTGAAGAAGCTCAAGACAGAGAAGACGCTAGAGAATGGGAAAATGCAAATTTCAGCACAAGTGGCTAAAAAACAAGGAGTTTGGGAAATAGTTGCAGCCTGTCGACAGTAAAAATGAAGAATTTGGCAGTCTTACCTATTTATATATATATATATAAATAAAATAACATTTGTTTGTTCTTTATTCTGTACTGAATATGAATAGTTTCTTCCACTTTGTCTAAAACCCTATCTGTAAGATGCTCATTATAACATTGGTTGATAGCATCTGAAACGGTTCTCTTCCTTTTGTTGTTTTTGTTGCCACCAGAAGAGGGAGCAGAAGCCTGAGCAAACAAATGGCTTCCCAGAACGATCTTCAACTAAGCGTTCCACTTCTCCGATGGGAGAACTTGAGCTGAACACCGGCCCGTTGAGACTTGACGGCCTGCCTCCAGGGGCAGGGGCTGCCGGTCCTGGTTTACGAGTGGCTCAAGTTCGTCTCCTGGAACGCAGGACAAGCAGCAGGCCGAGCAGTCGTCCCGGGACACCGACATCCAACACTTCATCCACCCCGACCCCATCAGAGGAGCAAAACGATGGAGAGGAGGAGGCAGCTGAACCTGAGGATGATGTCCAGGCAGTTGAACCTGATGGTGCGACGCTGTCTGTGCCGCCACCGCGTCTGCTCAAGAGACCCTTTCAGCTCCTTATTGCTGCAGCCATGGAGAGAAATCCCACACAGTTCCAGCTGCCCAGTGAGCTCACGTGCACTACTGCACTACCAGGTCAGTATGTCACAGCGACTAGAGACCTTCTCTCATGATATTTTTATCCTGGGTACTGATGCAATGGATAAAAAGTCGGTTCTAATTAGATGCTAAGTCTTGTAATGTAGAAATAGTGGCGCTGCACAGCCTGGGCTCTGAAACGCAGCTTCTTGAGAGGCTGGTCTCTCTTCTGCTGTAACGGTGGAATGCTAAGCTTGGGTCTGTTTGTCACCCCCCATCCCCCCTGAAGATCAGCCCAGAGTTCTCCGCAGCGTATCTCTGCGTAGCGGATCACTAGAGTCTAAGGCTGTGGCAGCCTAGTGGTTAGGACATACAGCTTGGAATCCTGAGGTTTTGATTTCGAGTGCCACTCCAACAGACTGCCACTCTGGATCCCTGAGCAATACCCTTCCCCCCCTCCTTGTTCCCTAGGCGCCGCACAATGGCAGCCCACTGCTCCCCAAGGGGATGGGTTAAATCAGGTTCCCGCGGGTCCTTAACCTCTTACACCCTAAGGGGATATAAATAAATTTCTGCCTGACAAAAACACACAAAAGTAAATAACTTATAGCCTCAAAGCTATTAGATTTAAGAAGAAACTTTTGGTACGTCTGTAAAGGTAAGATGTCATAGAATGGTTTTCTTATTGTAGCTTTGACCCTGCCTGAAATATTAGGGACAAAATACAAAATATTTTGCAATTTTTTAACCTCGCCAAAATTTTCTTTGAAATAAACATTGCAAAACAATACCAAAATATTATTTATAGTACAAAAAAGTAGTACAGACTTTCAAATCTAAATGTTGTGTAAAAATATACAAAATGTGGACTCAATCAGATGAATCATATTTATTTTAGAATGGTATTAGTGAGAAATTTCTTAGGCGGAGGGGCCATTTTGGCACATTTATCCATAAATGTCACCAAACTGTGCCAAATATGTTTTTTACATCAAAACTGGGGGTTTGGTAAAACTACAAGGTCATGTAGCAGCTGGACCCGCCGGTGGGTCCGTAGGGTTCAAGGGGTTAAAAAGTCTTAAAAGGCATTGAATTCTTCAAAATAAAACAAAGGCCTTAATTGGTATTAAAATATCTTAAATCAGTCTTTCCTAGGTCTTAATTTTTAAAACATCATAAATAGGATTATTTTTATTACGATTTATTTTTGTAATCTTAATAAAACATAAAAATTGACAAATTGTTTTTTATTTAAAAAAAATAACGGCTCGCCATTATTGGTTCCGTCCCGATAGCGGAACCAATAAAAGCGTTGTTGCGGCTGGGACATTTGGGAGATGCGCCATTAACTTTTTGTCTGGAAAATATGAGCAAGTGTAAATGTAACCAAAACTGGCTCCAGCCAAGAGTTTTCTCCATGGCTAAAACCAGGGAACATACATGAGGCTCAGTGGATTTAGTGCAAGAAGTCATTCAAGCTCAGAACGATGGGAATTAAGGCAGTGGAGTCGCACATGCGAAGCACGAAACACAAAGCGTCAAAATGGAGTTACAGAGAAACAGCCGGTATTTCTCAGTTTAGTTCCACCCTTGTCTCTGCAACGCCTCCACTTATCACCAAATCAAACATACTAAGAAAACCATACAAAGAAAAATAGCTGCAAAAAAGACTTAGCACTGGTTATGTTGTGGCTTTAAAACTGATTTGTTTTGTTCCCTGCTAAAACAAATTTGTGAATTCAGTTAAATAATTGTTAAAATATATCTGTCATTTGTGTGTTTTTAGCTTTCTTCCTGTATGCGAAGCTTTTCAACATTTGAAACATTCGTGCAGTGGTTTATGTTAAAATAAACCTTTGGGTTAAGTTATTGCAAGCAGGTTTTTCTTGTATTTCTTGTGAATTTGGTCTTAAATTTTTATTTCAAGTGGCATTAAAAAGTATTGAATTTAATTTGCCTTATGCTGTAGGAACCCTGTAAATGCAGAGTGTTTATTTCATTGATCTGTATCTGTGACAGTGTAATGTCAATAACAAGCTTGGGGGGGAAAAAACTCCTTTCTGCACTGAAATAATGTTTTTGTTGAAATGTTAGCTTAGTTTGAGATGTATTAAATAGCTTCTCTGTGCTTGGAGCATATTGATGCCCTCTTACAAACATGTCTGTGTATTGTGAGGATGGGATCATTTGCTGAACGGGTCATGTGACATACGGTGCCATGCCACAGCAGTTTTAACTCCTTTGAAAAGTCTTTTGTTTGGCAACAAAACTGACATGACACTAATCAAACATGTTTAGTTATTTGAGGTAGGATTTAATCTAAAGAAAGACGTCTAGAGGCGAAATGTTAAAGGACAAATCACAGGTGAACCATGGATCATTTATTCAGATTCTGTCTCACCAATGCTTGGTGTATAATTGTCACCTGACTTTGTGGGGCGTTTCTTGTCTGCACTTTTACATCGATGACTGTTAGCTGAATGTTTGACCCAATTGGTGTTTGGTCCAATTCCAGTAATCCCTATGGACTTGTATTTCCTTAACTGAGAAAAATATATATATACAAATGAAAGATTTAACGATTTAATTACAAAAAAGAGCGTAAGACAGTTTAAGCACCACTATCGTTAACTTATACTAAAGTTGTTTCTGTTGTTTTTTTTTTTTTAGGCAGCAGTAAACGAAGGAGAAAAGAGGAGCTGCTGGGTAAGCCGTTCAGGAGACCCCAGCACGAACTGGATCCCAATGGCCTGGTTCCTCTACCTGTCAAAGTCTGTTTTTCATGCAATAGGTAAGCCACGTGTTTACTTTTTTTGTGTCTTCCCTCCAAAGCGAGGCCATAGCTTAACCGAGACTGATACTCTTCAGGAAAAAAACAAAACATTTGGATTCTCCAAACATCTGCAAAGTTGGAGCAACCTCAATACGTCAATATGAGCATTTATTCCAGTCATGTTTGATCTTCAATCTGGTTAAAGGAACTAGAGACAGGATGAGAAAATAAGACTCAAGTGGCACGCCTGGCGCTGAGGGTAACTGCAGCCAAAAGCTAGCAGGAGCAGGCAGAAACGATTCGCAGACCGGCAGTATTCACAGCGCTGGAACCCTCTTAACTACGTGTCGGTTTTACTATGAGACCGTCACTCAGATTTTATAACCGCAACATCTCAAGTATAGGGATGGGCATCGTTTAAATTGAATTCAGGACAGTGGAGAGATAAGTGGGTGGACTCAGTTTTGCTTTTTAACAATTCATAACCAATCAGCATTAAAGGGGAACACCGTTTTTTTTTTTTACTCACCCATATTAGTTTTGTGTCATTTGGAGCTTTTCTGAAGATATTTGGTTTTGTAATCCAAGTAACGTCTTCCTATGGGCAACGAGTTGAAGGCACAAACTAAACTGTTCATAATTTATTCTTTATGGTACGCCAGCATTCATAACATGTAGGCCAATCACTGTCCCTCAGACATCCGCCGTTATATTTTTCATATTGATATTTTTGTTAAAACAAAGCGGCGCGTGTATGACGTCATCCGCGCGCGCCGGCTACCGTTCATTCTTCCTGTCCGCTGAACTGCTGCTAGTTTTCCTCACATGCCTGGAAGATGTCTAGTGCTGCTACTACAGATGATCTCGCTCTAGAAATGGAATTGAACGATTTAGATTAGCTTGCAAAATTAATAGAATGGGTAGAGGGTATCCGCCTGTCACAACTCCAGTCCGGCGCACAGATGAGGTCATACACACCACCGTTTGTTTGTAAAAAATATAAATAATATAACCGCAGATGTCTGGGGGACAGTGATTGGCCTACATGTTCTGAATGCTGGCGTACCATAAAGAATAAATTATGAACAGTTTAGTTGTTGCCTTCAACTCGTTGCCCATAGGAAGACGTAAGTTGGATTAGAAAAACAAATATCTTCAGAAAAGCTCCAAATGACACAAAACTAATATGGAATGACATGATGTAATAACCTAAAATCAAGGCGCCAATGTGAAAAAAACGGTGTTCCCCTTTAATAAACTGGACATGGATTCTTTCCCAATTCCTGCCCCTAGTCCGTTTAAGTCAGCTTTTTATAATGATAGGTAATGGTTTGGGGAAACTGTTTGTGTAATTCATATTACTTAACCCTCCTCTCGCTCTCAGATATGCTAACAGTTAGGTCAGTTTGACCCCAAGGATATCAGCGTCCAGAAAATGATTTACAGAATATTGTTGACCATTGTTTCGTCACAGGTTCTTTGTTTATTTGTTACATTAAAAAAATGTAAGTAAACCCTTGAAAATCAGTGAGTTGTCCCCTAGCGCCACCATCAGGCCCAACCTTTATATTAGAATAATCTTTGTCTAGAATTTTTCATATAAATCTTCTCAAATTCACCTCGCAACATTAACTCAGTATTGCAAAAAGTCTCCCTGATACCATCCCATAATGAATAAACATTTGTGTTTTCATTGTCTTTAACTTGTTAAATTCCTATTCCTATTTCTATTTATTTAGTTAGGTTTACCCTCAAACACTGAAAGAAAGACTTTCAGAAATTCAAAACCAACGATGCCATGGACTTCCATCACATTCTGAGTGTAGTAGTGTCTGATTTGCATGTACCTATTGGAGATGAAACCTTTACATTGATTATTCATGATTAAGCAATAATTTTAATCATTATTAAATAATCTGGTAACTAAATCATTAACTGGAGAAAACGCCAACTGTAATCTTAAATGATTCCTTTTTAAATGCTGTTTTAAATCACAAAAACAAATTAATATAAATTGTTTTTTGTCTAAGTTGAATCTTAACGAGGTAACCAACCAGTTAATCTTAAAACCAGGTCGTCTGCGTAGGTGTCGCAGAGAACAAAAAGACGTCCACAGAACTCTCCCAAATTGTAGGTGAACTCAGACAGTGCCGCAGACAGGAGGCTGGCTTGTTTTGTTTTTATAATCGCGATTGCGGAAAACAAGTTGTGAAGTTGGACCAGCTAGAAGAAGAAGAAGAAGGTGTGCGAGAACGATGGACCCATTTTTCCACCTGGATCCCCGCACTTTTTCGCCCTCATTTCCCTCCGTTGTCATACAAAATTTGCCCCTCTTCCTCTCCGCCTCGACTGTATCTAGACCCACAGCATATAGCGCAGACCACGCTCAAAATTGAGCATAAATCAATAATGTCTGCGTCAAGTTCACTGCGACACGCTGCTGCAGGGAGTATAACCAGTCCTTTACACACCTTACCCATGACTCCCTATGTGTTCACATATTGGCCACCTGATGTCGCCATTGTCCTCAACCAAGTCACTAAAGACACTTGACATACTGGACTTAATATTCACGGGCAAAAAAGAGGTGCTGACTACCTTTTTTTTTTCTTTTTATAAAGACAGATTTCTATCACATCAGTAATCACAGCTTCATCCATTTAAGATTATAACTGAGGATATAAGCAGAAAGTTCAAGTGATTTTGTCCACGTTGCCTTTCTGGTATTTTTTTTACAGAATATCACTACCTTCATTGTAAAGATAACAAAAATGAACAGAATTAATGGGGATTGCACAACCTCAAGTGATAAAAACCACAAAGACATAAGAGGGCAAGACATATTTCAGAAGAACAATCAAATGAAGTCGGGTCTAATTGGTTTCACGTACTCAGTCCATTTGGACCAAATCTTATAACATTTTTTTTTCTAATTGGAGGGAAAAGCAGGTCCTTTCCATCACATAAATCTGGAAAAAAATTTCAACCCATTCATCAATAGTGGGTGGGTCTGGTTTCATCCATTTCCTTGTGATGGCCTTCTTACTGGCGGCCAGTAGTGTAGCCAGCAGTTTTTTTGTCTTTCTTAGTCCATGTGTCCAATTGTAGATTGCCCAGGTACAATGTTTCACATTTTAATGGAATACTTTCATCGGGTAGTGTTACCTCACGCTCACATGTCCTTTGTCTATACCCTGTTACTGCTTTATGGTTTCCATCTCCATCATGTACTTCTCCAGGGTTTCTAGTCTAGTCACTCACTGAGCGTTGTAGTTCTTTTACTCTTAGTCCAGCAGCAGTCTGAGCTGCTGGACTACATTGAGATGCTGTTCAAATGTAACTGAAAGCAAACTAATCCTGTGGAATAGAGCTGACCTGATTTATACACGTATTAATGGAAGAGAAACATGATTCAAAAATGTATCCTGTATCCCCCCCCCCACCCTGTCGGTACTGATGGACCTGGGTTTCCTCAAACAGGAGTTGCAGATTGGCTCCGCTGATCCAGTGTGATTATTGTCCACTTCTTTTCCACATGGACTGTCTGGACCCCCCACTGACAGCTTTACCTGCTGGCAAGTGGATGTGTCCAAACCACGTTGAGCATTTAGTGGTAAGAGAAAAAGATGGAGCTGCCATTAAATGCATGTTTTTGCATGTTTTCTGAGCCGCCTTTAGGTTTTTAATGTGAATACACGTTTCATTCCAGCTGAACCAGAGAACCCTTAGCTTGTCAAGCCGCTGTCAGCTCTTTGACCAATTCCAGGACAGGATATCTCAGCATGCTGTCAGGTTGAACTTTCTTCGTAGAGTCCATCGACAGAATGCTCCCAATAGGCGGTCCTCTTACCAGAAAAAGAAAACAATAAAGGTACGTTCCTTTACATTTCTTACTATCTAGTTTAACTTTACTGTATACAGTCATGGCCAAACGTATTGAGAATGACACAAATATTATTATTTAATATGATCTGCTGCCCTCTGGTTTTTCATGTGTCTATGTCAGATGTTGTCGTCACATACAGAAATACAATTGCAATCATATTATGAGTAACAAAAGCTTTTAATGACAGAATACGATACTGCAGCAAGTCAATATTTGCAGTGTTGACCTCTCTTCTTCAGGACCTCTGCATTTCTCCCTGGCAGAATCAACTTCTGGACCAAATCCTGACTGATAGCAGTCCATTCTTGCACAATCAATGCTTGCATTTAGTCAGAATTCCTAGGTTTTGGTTTGTCCACCCATCTCTTGATGATTGACCACAAGTTTTCAATGGGATTAAGATCAGGGGAGTTTTCAGGCCATGGATCCAATCTCTCTGTTTTGTTCCCTGAGCCAGTTAGATATCACCTTTGCTTTATGGCAAGGTGCTCCATCATGCTGGAAAGGGCATTGTTCATCGCCAAACTGCTCTTAGACGGTTGGGAGAAGTTCCTCTCGGAGGACATTCTGGTACCATTCTTTATTCATGGCTGTGTTTTTAGGTCAGACTGTGAGAGAGCCGACTCCCTTGGCTGAGAAGCAACCCCACACATGAATGGTTTCAGGATGCTTTACAGTTGGAATGAGACAAGACTGGTGGTAGCGCTCACCTCGTCTTCTCTGAATCAGTTGCTTTCCAGATGTCCCAAACAATGGGAAAGGGGATTGATCAGAGAAAATGACTTTCCCCCAGTCCTCAGCAGTCCTCTCCCTGTACCTTTAGCAGAATATCAGTCTGTCCCTGATGTTTTTCCTGGAGAGAAGTGGCTTCTTTGCTGCCCTCCTTGAAACCAGGCCTTGCTCCCAGAGTCTCCGCCTCACAGTGCGTGCAGATGCACTCACACCTGCTTGCTGCCATTCCTGAGCAAGCTCTGCACCGCTGGTAGCCCCATCCCACAGCTGAAGCACTTTCTTTTTAGCTGCGATTCTCTTTCCTGTTAGGTCAGTTTTGTGCAGTGCAACGATGACTGCACTTGTTTTTTTTAGAGATCACCACGGTTCACAGAAGAGAAAAAATGATGCTAAGCACCAGCCTCTTTTTAAAGTGTCCAGTGGCGTCATTCTTACTTAATCATGACAGATTGATCTCCAGCCCTGTCCTCATCACCACCCACACCTGTGTTAATGGAGCAATCACTGAAACCATGTTAGCTGCTCCTTTTAAGGCAGGACTGCAATGACATTGAAATGTGTTTTGGGGGATAAATTTAATTTTTTAAGGCAAATATTGACTTTGCAATTCATTGCTGTTACGATCACTCTTTGTAACATTCTGGACTATATGCAAATTGCCGTTATAAAAACTGAAGCAGTAAACTTTGTAAATATTAACATTTGAATCATTCTCAAAACTTTTGGCCATGGCTGTACATGAGTGTTCATTTTATGCATTATTATAGATATATAGATTAGTTTCTAAGGCTATGTTCACCTTAAACTCTATTTCAAATTTTTTTTGTGAAATCTGATTTTATTGCGTTCATATTTGCAAATATATGCAGGGATTAAAGTATTCCGGCCCCCTTGCGTTTGTAGCAAAGGAGCGCTCTGAAACTAACAGTATTAGCCAATCAGAAGAAGAAGTGGGTGGGTCTTAGGAAAGCTTGTACCTCCTTTCATTAGGGCTCCATTCAACTGAGAGAGGTGTTAAAAGTCAAAAAATGATTAAAAGAAACTTTGTGTTTGGAGAGAAGGATGATAGAGAGCACGCATTTGCATGAAATGAAGTTCATGAACTCCAGCACGCTGCGCTCCAGGAAGCTTATTTACGCATCCAGCAGCAAAAAGGTGCTGTGCAAACATTAGACCCTGGTCAACAAGCTGCTGCCGTGCGGCCGTGCAGACTACACGTTTGCTGGGAGCTACAGCAACAGCTGATGGACGAGCGTCAATAACTGACCATGTATGCGAGTTGAAAGTAAGGGTTTGTGCTTTCCTTACCAAAAACACGACCTCTCTTTCACACTAGGAATAGATGCACTTTTGCTATCTTCTGGCGGTTTTTGGTATTGGATTTTCAAAAGTCAAATTTAGTCTTCAATCATTCATGCAATCTCTGATCCAATGCCCCCTCACCCCCCTTTCATGTCTTGAAAATACACACATACGCATGCGCAGTAGAGGACGCCATGACTTCGCAAGCATGCTTTGTGTTTACGGAAGTAAACGTTAATACTAGTGCTGGAGCGGATCTAGCCATCTTTCCCAACCTTAAAAACTCAGACTTTTCAAGATGGTTGAAAAAAAATACTGCACTCTCCATTATCATCCGTCATGGTTGGGGTTTTTCTTCTCGCTTCTGCATAGCAAGATGCAGAACGGTAATAATGACGTTCAGATCAGAGGAATGCGACCTGGCCGTTCAGACTAGGGTCGCATTTGAAAAGATCAGATTTGTATCACATTCAGTATGAAGGTTTGTGTCTTTATTATTCAATCAAAAAAGAAGTTGCTTCAAACAAACAAACAGAGTCCAAAAATTGCATTTGAATTTTTTTTTTTTTATTATTGAAAATGTTCTCTTTGGTTGAAGTAATCTATTTTGTGTTTGGGCCATACATGGGTAGGACATTTGTCTTAATCATTCAACTCCCAAAAAGTTGTTTCAATCAAAAAAAATAAATAAATTCAAAGAAAAAACTGTGCAAATGCAAAAAACAAAAAGGTATTGAAGAGAATTTGTTTTTTGTTGTTTTTTTTGTTGTTTTTTTTGTGAAAAAAGCATTTCAGAATTAAACATCCCCAGTTATTGACTTCATACACTCACTAGATCTGAATGCCCTGTTGAAAAACTTCACACCCATGAGTAGAGGTAATGCAGCCTGATGATATTTACACAACATTGGATAATGTTCCCCCCATGTTAGACGGGGGGAACGGTATCTGATGTGGTGTAAATATCAGGATGCAGTACCTCTACTCTACTCTGTCAATCAATTATGATCTATCTGACCAATAGAGAAGCACCGGCCTATTGTGGAATGTTTGTGTCAAAATGATTTATTCAAAAAAATTTGAACTTAAAAAATGTTTTGCACTTCAAAAAAAATTGTGATTCAAATTAAACTATTTGAACTTCGAATTTTTTTCCACTTTAAAAAAGAAAATTAAAACACAAATTAAAATTCATTCTCTTGAAACAACTTTTTGGGATTTGAATGATTAAGACACAAATGTCCTACCCATGTATGGCCCAAACACAAAATAGATTGCTTCAACCAAAGAGAACATTTTCAATAATAAAAAAGTGTTCAAATGCAATTTTTGGAATCTCAAATATTTTATTTGCATTCAAAAACAATTTTCTATGATTGAAAACGTTCATCTTTTCATTGAAGTTACTTTTTTATTGATTGTGGTGTTTGTTTGTTTGTTTGAAGCAACTTCTTTTTTGATTGAATAATAGAGACACAAATGTCTTACCCATTATATGGTCCAATCAAAAAACAATTTTACTTCTATTAAATAAAACATTTTCAAAGAAAAGCAGTGTTCAAATGTATTTTTCTTTGTCTCAAATATATTTTTTGCGTTCAAAAACTTTTTTTCTTTGATTAAAAAGTTTGTTTTTTTTAAAGAAGTGAAGGTTTTTTTAATTGAAAATATATTTTTTGATTGAAACAAACGTTTTTTGATTGAATGATAAAGAAAAAATCTACCTTCATAATTCAGGGCCACATAGCCAAATGACCTGGATCGCTTTAGAAAAAATCAGATCTGTTTTGCTCAGACTGCCATGAAAAGATCAGATACAGGTAACATAAAGGCAAAAATATTTAGGTCACCTCAGGCTGCTGTGTGAATGTAGCCTAAATGGACTTTTGCAGATTTTTCCTTACAGTAATCGTTAAAATGGAAAGGAATTTGAATATTGGCTAAACTGATCTGCTTTTAAGACACATTGTTGTTGTTAAGGTGCCAGATGCAATCAAGTCTCAGTACCAGAATCCTCCCCCCATGCTGCATCCTGCAGGGGTGCATGAGATGGAGTTGGTCTGTAGCAGACTACCCGGCCTCCTTCCATCGAAGCACCTAACAACCGAGATTGAGCAAGAGGAGGTGAGTAAAGCTGTGTTTCCTCTCATATTTCCTGCTATATTTGATTTATTCCAAATGGTGATGTATCATTTCTTTTCTTCAAAAAATGTACAGACACGTTCCTATTTGGATAATGTGGAAAAACAATGAAATGGTTACAAATTTATAATAAATAGAAAACAACGCAGTCATATTAAAGTTTTTACAACTTTTGCCACATAGTCTATAGAGGAGGTACAGCTGACGGCAGCCAATCACAAGACGCCCGAAACTCCCCCTCAGATGGCAAAACAAACTGTGCTTGCATAGAGCACGACCAGCTGATATTGCAGATTTCCTCCATGCTACGTTGAAAACACCAACAAAAACATGTTAACCCTTAACCCCTTGAACCCTACGGACCCACCGGCGGGTCCAGCTGCTACATGACCTTGTAGTTTTACCAAACCCCCAGTTTTGATGTAAAAAACATATTTGGCACAGTTTGGTGACATTTATGGATAAATGTGCCAAAATGGCCTCTCCGCCTAAGAAATTTCTCACTAATACCATTCTAAAATAAATATGATTCATCTGATTGAGTCCACATTTTGTATATTTTTACACATTTAGATTTGAAAGTCTGTACTACTTTTTTGTGCTATAAATAATATTTTGGTAGTGTTTTGCAATGTTTATTTCAAAGAAAATTTTGGCGAGGTTCAAAAATTGCAAAATATTTTGTATTTTGTCCCTAATATTTCAGGCAGGGTCAAAGCTACAATGGTGCTGACACCAGAAAACCATTCTATGACATCTTACCTTTACAGACGTACCAAAAGTTTCTTCTTAAATCTAATAGCTTTGAGGCTAGAAGTTATTTACTTTTGTGTGTTTTTGTCAGGCAGAAATTTATTTATATCCCCTTAGGGCAGGGGTGTCAAACTCAATTTCACCAAGGGCCACTTCAGCATATTGGCCACCCTCAACGGGCCACATTGACGGTATATATCAGGAAATATTTATACCGTCCTCCAGACTGCAACAGACTGCAACTTATAGATTCGTCCCTGCTAAAACATACCCCAGACAAAAGGTTGACTTCCCTCAGTAGCAGCAACTCAGTTCTGTAGAGGCCTATGAATGAGTCAAAGATCCAGGTGTGTTAGTTAGAGAAGGAACGCATCTAAAGTTGCAGAGTGATAGGTCTGGAAAATTGGTCAACCCTAGCATAAATGTATGGAAATACATTGTTAAAAATAAATTAAACAACGCCTCATATTGTTAAGTAACTGATTTTATGTATTCAAGTTTTAAATATTACATTTGAGTTTGCATGGATGTAAAATTGCTGCTCAGTTGAAAAATTACATTACTTAAATCAGTGTTTAAAGATAAGCAGACAAAGAATAAAAACAAGTTTTGCTGTTAACTCTCAACTTCATTCACAAAACGTTTGTTATTTTTTACACAACGAACATGTATTTCACATAAGAACAAAACAATTAGGCGATGTTGCCTGTCCTTGAACACAAAGCTGATCCCTTTTCACTCTGTCACCAACTCACACACATCCTCGTTCACCAGTTGTGTTCTGTAAATAAACACAAAACAAAACACAAGCAAAATCAATAAACTATATTCATATTCCAGTATACTGAACTTTGGTTTTACATTAATTCTATTTTAATTCAGTTTGTTTGTGCTTACCAATGTTTTCTGGCCGGATGTCTGGCACCGTTTTCCCCTTGTCAGTTCGTCGATGTCTGGTTTTAGTTCTTGTGCTGTGGCAATCCGCAAAACGGCGTGTAGGTTTTCGTCAGTAATGCGTGATCTATGCTTGGTCTTGTTTAAATTCATTATTGAAAACATCTGTTCACACAGATAGGTGCTTCCAAACATGGACAAAACACGAGCTGCATGGAGTCGAAGCTGTGGCATCAAATCAGGGGGAAGTAGAGGGTAAAAGTCCTCGATTGAAACATCACGGAACTTCGCTCTCAGGCCACTGTCGCTTTGAAGCTCAATTAACTCCATCTGAAGGCGGTGGGGCGCACTGCAGACATCGGCGGTGAAAGGATTGGCAAAGATGTCAAAACTAGAGTGTTGCGATTTAAAGTCATAAAAGCGCCGATCAAACTCGTTTGTTAACAGAGTTAGTTTGGTAGTTAACCGAGCACATGAAAAAGCACCGGGAAATGAGGCTGAGATGATCTGACATGCAGGAAAGTGGACGAGATTGTTTTGTTCCACCTGGTACTTCCATAGATCGAGTTTGCGCTGGAAAGCTGTGATCATGTCGGACATCTGTGTGATGACTTGTTTACGTCCTTGTAGTTTCTGATTTAGCTGAGCAAGATGCTCGGTGACGTCACATAAAATAGCAAATTCACACAGCCATTTCGGATCGGACAGTTCAGACAAGGGTTTTCCTTTGTTTTTCATGAAAAGATCGATTTCTTTTCGAAGTTCAAAAAATCGTTTAAGGACTTTGCTCCTACTCAGCCACCTTACTTCTGTATGGTATGGCATATCTTCATGCTCTGAACCCACCTCCTGCAAGAACATCTGAAACTGGCGGTGATTCAGGCCGCACGCCCGAATAAAGTTGACTGTTTTCGTGACAGTGGTCATCACATTATCCAGCTCCAGAACCTTTCCACACAGCGCTTCCTGATGGATAAGGCAATGATACGTGATCAGCGGCGTCTGATTGTTGCTTTTTTGCATTTTTTCCTTCATTAGTCCAACCAAGCCTGTTTTTCCTCCACACATCGCAGGTGCACCGTCTGTAGTTAGTCCCACCAACCTTTCCCACGGCAATTTATTTTTACCGACAGACTTCTCCACAGCATCAAAAATGTCCCGGCCGGTTGTGGTTCCATGCAGCGCCACTATATCCAGGAGCTCCTCGGTTACAGACAGGTCTGGCATCACCCCTCTAATAAAAATGGACAAATGCGCCGTATCCACGTTGTCTGTACTTTCATCCACAGCTAATGAAAAAGCTAGACAGCTGCCCATTTCTTCGGCCAGCTGTGTCGCTATATTTCCGGCAATGTCCTTAACTCGTTCCGCGATGGTATTTCTTGACAACCTGACATTTTGGAAAGTCTGTACTTTTTCGGGACACACCTGCTCACACACCTTTAGCATACACTGCTTCAAAAATGCACCCTCCGAAAAAGATTTTGAAGCTCGGGCGATTTCTTCAGCTACAATAAAGCTTGCTTTCACCGCTGCATCATTTTTGGCTGTGGCTTTTGTAAACAATTTCTGCTGCATTTGCAATCTGCCTTTTAAATCTGCTGAAATTTTTTGTTTTTCTTGAAGGCTAAATTTCGCGTACTTAGCTCCGTGTTTTGTTTCAAAATGCCGACGTATATTGTATTCTTTCACAACGGACACTGCCCCAGAACACAAAAGACATACTGGTTTTTCACCTTGTAGTACAAAGAGGTATTCGTTTTCCCATCGTTCATGAAACAGTCTTCCTTGTAAATCGATTTTTCTCTTCTTAGACATTTTGATGTTAGCTTGTCGATGTTTCAGTTTTATTCTCTGGGAAAATTAATAATCAGCTTGAGGTGACTCTGCTGCACTCTAGTGGCGAGAAGCCCTAATGGTGGCTGGTAACAATCAGAAGGCATTATGGGAGATGTAGTTTGTGGTCAATTTGTGCTCAAAACCTATTTTAAGTCAATCAATAGCCCTGTAAAACTGTGGTGGGGGGGAGAGGGCCACATAAAATCACGTAGCGGGCCACATGTGGCCCGCGGGCCTTGAGTTTGACACATGTGCCTTAGGGTGTAAGAGGTTAAATGCAGAGGTTCTTATGAGCAAATTCTGCCTGAAATTACATTTGAATTAAAAGCAAGTACAGCTCCCAAACTAAATTGTAAATACAATTTTTTTTGTTTGTTTGACAGAGAGGCATTGAGGAATATTTTTCAGGCGGAACCACTATTTTAAATGTCACCGTGTCTGATTTATAGGTGATTAAACAAAGAAAAAAAAAATGAGCCTCCCTAAATTCTTTTCCAAAAAAAGTATTGAAGAGAATGTGGGGTTTTTTTGTGTGTGAAAAAAAAAGCATTTCAGAATTAGACATCCCCAGTTATTAATTTCATACACTCACCAGATCTGAATGCCCTGTTAAAAGACTTCACACCCATGAGAAGAGGTTATGCAGCCTGATGATATTTACACCGCATTGGATAACGTTCCCCCCATGTTAGACGGGGGGAACGTTATCTGATAGGCCTATAAACCCCGTCACATAATGTTCACCCTGTCTTAACATGGGGGGAACGGTGTCTGATGCGGTGTAAATATCAGGATGCAGTACCTCTACTCTACTCTGTCAATCAAACATGTTTTATCTGACCAATAGAGAAGAACCTGCCCATTGTGGAATGTTTGTGTCAAAATAATTTATTCAAAAAAATTTGAACTTCAAAACTTTTTGCACTTCAAAAACATTTGTGATTCAAATTAAACAATTTGAACTTCAAATTTTTTTTTTACTTACAAAAAAAAAGGAAAAACTAATTTTTATCAATACTTTTTTTTTTTTTTTTTTTTTTTTTTTTTATTGATTGAAGCAACTTTTTGGGAGTTGAATGATTAAGACACAAATGTCCTACCCATGTATGGCCCAAACACAAAAAAGATTACCTCAACCAAAGAGAACATTTTCAATTACCGTAAATCCTCTAATATAGGCCCGGGCCTTTATTTCACTCAAGTGCATCGCGGTCCAGGCCTTTATTGGAAAGAGGCCAGAATTAGAGACAGGCCTCTATTGCTATTTGAGCAAAACAGACTAGCAGTGGAATGAATAAAATGAGATTTTGTGTCTATTTGAACCTATAAAACACTAGGTTCATTTATTGAAAAAGTACAGTTACCATGTCTCGCTTGGTTTGAAGTAAAAAAGAAAAAAAAATCCTCCAATTCTGTTTAATCCTCCTCCTCAGTTTCCTCCTCCTCTCCATCTCTCCCTTTAATCTCCTCATCACTCGCGCTCCTCCTCATGTTCTGCTGCGTCTGTTCTCTTCCTCGCGCAGACGGGCAGCAGTCAGGGCCTGTCGTCCAGCTGCGCAGGGCTGTGGTACTTGTATGTTACTACCACAAGTATAATGTTGAGGTATGCCCAGAAAAAACGTTTATAGCCCCGGCCTGTATTAGAGACCGGCCATTATTTACCTCCTCTGACAGCGAGACCGGCCAATGTTAGAGTACCGGCCGCTAATGGAATACAGGCCAATATAAGAGAATTTACGGTATATAAAAAAAAAAAAAAGTGTTCAAATGCAATTTTTGGAGTCTCAAATATTTTATTTGCATTCAAAAACAATTTTCTATAATTGAAAACGTTCATCTTTTCATTGAAGTTACTTTTTTTATTGATTCTGTTGTTTGTTTGAAGCAACTTCTTTTTTGATTGAATAATAAAGACATACAAAATAAGCCCTGCAAAAAGCCATGAAAATCCATTTTAAACTGTGGATGAACCCTCAGACTTTATAGATCCACATCTATACTACAGTCATGGCCAAAAGTATTGAGAATGACACAAATATTATATTTTCACATGATCTGCTGCCCTCTGGTTTTCATGTATGCATGTCAGATGTTGTTGTCACATACAGAAATACAATTGCAATCATATCACGAGTAACAAAAGCTTTTAATGACAGTTAGAATACGTTAACGCAGCAAGTTAATATTTGCAGTGTTGACCCCTCTTCTTCAGGACCTCTGCAATTCTCCCTGGCATGCTCTCAATCAACTTCTGGACCAAATCCTGACTGATAGCAGTCCATTCTTATTTTGTTATTTTGGCACAGTGGTGCCAAAAGTGGGCAAATTGTGCCAAATGCATTTTTCCACTCATAAAAGAGAATCTGGCCAAATAAATTTGCTGACTTACATTATTGGAGACCTTATGCACAAGGCAAAGCCTTTACTCCTATAATTGTTGATTGTTTCTTTAAAATTTACCATTGAACACACAATATTACCAAACTGAATAGAAAATAAGAAAAATAGAGCAAGCTTATGTAACACATGATGGTTACATCACCTTAGTTGTGAGCTTCATACTAAAGGCTGTGAATTCTGGTGAAGGGACCTTATGCATAAAAATATCAGCTTTTATGCATAAGTATCAGAATCAGCTACTATGGTGGACTCTGAATAGAATATCTTGCTTCTCTAATACATTATCCTATGAATAAATAGTATAGTATATTTGGTATATTTAGCACATGTAGGTTGGGGTATTTAACAGCATTTAATAAGTAAGCATGTGCTACATTTCTTTGGTTTTGCCAGTGAGAAGAAATATGTAAAGCTTATAAGATTATAAAATGCCTCATTTGTTACTCAAAAAAGGTCTCTTAAACTAACTTTTTAACTTGTTTTTCCTAAAAGCTGTAATATAGCCGATTAAGAAGATAAACATAAGCTAAATCTCTGTGTAATTTTTAAGTTAAATCGATTGTGTGGAATAGTTTAGGTAAAATAATCGATAAATTGAACTAGAAGAAAATCAGTAATTCTTTGGTGATTAATAATTGTTGAGTTTTCCATACAGAAAACATTAGAAACTTTAAGTTCACTTCAGTTTATAACTAAAGCATCTTTGTGTTCTAATCAACAGTGGCTTCAGGACATCATTGCACTCCAATGTAGCATCATGAGACACTTATCCATTAATCAGAAGGTCAGATCTGCTGCATCCACAGAAAGTCCGGCCAAATTTGAGAGTAAAAAAACATGTATTGCATCAGAAGATATCAAAATTCAGGCCAGTGAAGAAAGAACCTCCCATGATCCATGCTCTAAGCCCTGCGTCATGCCCGAGTCCCCAGAAGGAGCCTTTATATCCAGGAGCACAACAGCAGAGCTGGGAGTTTGTAAGTGCAGCTTGGCACCTTGTCCGAAATGTAGGAAACCGAATGGACCTCTGGCAGAGCTTCAGCCCTCAAGAGCCAATGGACCCCTAGACTGTAAGGCCGCCTCAGACCCCTGCAAGCTGCCTGACCTTCAACACAGACTAAAAACTAATACAAAACCATCCTTGGAGACAGATATTCCTTCAGCGACAATGAACCACATAGGAACGGAAACGGTTAAAAAAGATCCAGAGAGTTCAACTAAAGCCTTCATTCAGAAGAACTGCCCCACAGGCCCAACAGTTTGGCCACTCAACACCCAGCAGAACTACAGGAGCCAGACGGAGCTTCAGGAGCACTGTTTGAGCAGCGATGAAAAACCGCCGGCCTGCATCACCAGCGACTCCTCGCCAGACTCGCCACCAAAAGTCACCGATAAGCCCAACTCCACTAAACAGGGACAATTATCGCTGCCACCAGGTAAATATCATCATCACTGAGAAATTCTTGCAAAGTAAAAACTTTTTATTAATTACTTTATCAAAGTGGTCAGATCGGTTCGAATGCCTAAAATGCAGTTTTTTCATGTCTTCAAAGGTAATACTCTGGAGACTTTAGTTTACCAAGAGCTTATTAATTTAATTTATAACTTATTAGGGCTAGGCTAGAGATTTTATTTGGATTTTTTTTAACACAACAAAAAAGTCATATTATTATGAGAATAAAGTTAAAAAATTACGAAAATTAAGACGTTTCAGAAATAAAGTTTCAAGCAGGCGCCGACCAGCATGAAGGCTGACCAGTTCCACCAAACAGCAACCTGATATTTCCTTATTTGTGAAACCGTTGCCAAATTATAACTGCACAAGATACGTTAGGACTTTATTCACATCATTTTATGACTTGATTCCCATAACATTATGATTTTATTCTCCTAATGTTGCAACTTTATTCTCGTAATATTATGACTTTATGTAACAATATTATTCTCAAAATGTTATGAATTTATTCTCGTATTTAAGAAAGAAAAAATATCTCTACTTTGACCCTAATACTCTGTAGTAATAACTTAGCATCAAATAGTCAACTGTTTATATTTTTTTTGTGAGTGAAAACTGTTTGAATCGGGTTGGCGTTTTTGTGCATGTCTTGCCTAGATTGTATAAAAGTGTGCTTAATTGTGCTGATATTTATTTATCATTAAAAATTGTTCTTATTTTAATTATTAATCCATTAAACATTCTGGAGCCAATGATATAAAGTATATATTTTTTTCTTAACCACTCATTTGATCGTCTGTTATTGACTATCTAATTATGAAAAAGGCTGTTTATCATAAAAACGTTGTATATAGTGCTTAATTCATGCCCACTAACAGACCGCCCCTAATGAGTGTCATCGACATCATGCCTTAGTTACCCTCCAGTTGCCCTTTTTATAGCACAATTCCTCCCACTGAATATGGTTAAAAAATAATGGATACAAGTCATATAATATTGTCTTTATAAGTTAAATATTTGCTTACAACAAAAGATTTCTAATACTGAAAATGGAACTATGTCGATTTAGCCAAACCTAAAGCATTGCCTTTCAGAGGTTGATATTTGGTTTTCCACATGCAATACCTATAGTGCAATCAAACATTGAAACCACTTCGCTACTTTTTAGAAATTCCATCTGGACGGTTGCTAACAGAGGGAGTTGCTTACAGGAATTTACCATGTGGGCTCTGTAGATCATCTGATGTGGACTGGCTGGAGAATTATTGTAGAATTGCACTACTTCTAAATGTTGTCAGACTCTGAGCAAGCGATTACTAAAAATGGTGACAAATGCTGGTAACCGTTGTTTATTTTTTAGCACAAATGATGTTTCTTTGGGGGTTGGGCAGTCCCCATGGTGAAATGGTTTAAGCCTTTGACTGTAATGATTTGGACCCAGGTTAATTATCTGGGTTGCATTAGGAAAGGCAAAAGAAGACATCCCAATTAGTGGTGTCCATGTTTTTAGTCAGTTACAAAGATGCCCATTTTCTGTGTTATCACTATCCGATGTCAGTTAAATCTAACTATCATGTCTTCAAAAAATATTTACAGATGTAAAAATATTTATTTCAGCTCTCATAATCTCTTCAAACAGAATTTTTTTTTAACTACCAGCTGATGAATTGCCAAAATTGCCATATTAGCCCCGAGTTATTTTTTTTACTAGCGCTACGAGTTGTTACAGCTGATTCAGTTTCCTTCTTACTGACCCCTTTATTTTTTTTTGTGAAACTTAAGTCTAAACCTAGTAGAAAACACTTGCTTGAAACTCTGTGTTTACAAATCACAATGATAAATGGTCAACACCACTTGTAACTATTGCTGAAATTCTAAAAATTTCTAAAGATGATATCAAACCACTGCTGCCTTGATCGCAACAAGAATCAACCCGAAACAACAAATATGAACAGATCCGCAGTCACCACATTACAGGACAGCTAAGGATGATAACAATATTCTGCACTTCTGTATCTGTTACCATGACAACTATAGTTGCTGAGCGGCATGCATCCCCCATTTACTTTAATAATCCACAATCTATCCACAACATTATTTTCAAATCAAAAAATTCTAAAAACGCAGACGGCTTAGTGGGGCTGGCAATCGTATTGGAATCTTGATTATGATCTGGGTTTTCAGCGATCATAAAATTTAATTATCTGATTATTTGATTATTATTTAGATTAGTTAAATAATGTGTAAGAAAACTTGTTTTGTTTGTTTTATCGTTCAGTATTTAATACATAAAAATGTTGTATGATTTACTTTGTTTTGTTTTAAACTCAGCATATTGTAAAAAATGATATTTATCTTGTTATGGAAAGCTCCGCATGATGGAAAAACCTCCTTTTTTTCCTATTACCGTGTTTTCACGAGCATAAGGCGCACCGTACTAAAAGGCGCAGTCTCAGTTATGTGTGCCATTACTGTATTTAACACACACATAAGGCGCACCGGATTATAGGGCGCGGGTTTTATATACAGGTACATATCCTCTACTACGTTTAAATACCTCTACTGTGTATTTAAAAATAGAGCCGGAGCAAAACTGAGTATTTTTGTGCTTTATTCAAGTATTTATTACAAAGTATTAATCAAACCCATCGAAGTCATCATCCTCTGTTTCTGAATTAAACAGCTGCGCTAAATCAGACATGCCAATTTCCCCTTCTTCGCTGTCAGAGTCACTTTCCGTGCCGGGCAGCTCCTCGGAAATGATGCCGGCTTTTGCGAATGCTCGAACAACAGTGCCAGCAGACACGTTAGCCCAAGCATCTACAATCCATCCGCAAACGGTGGCGTAACTTGCCTGGCGCTGCCTTCCACTTTTCGTGAAACTGTGGTCTCCGTCGTTCATCCATCGCTCCCACGCCGCTCGCATTCTTACTTTGAACGGCCGGTTCACACCGATGTTGAGTGGTTGAAGTTCCATTGTCAGACCCCCCGGGATAACGGCGAGCACAGCGTTCATTTGTTTTGTTAATCTTGAATTCTCTCGCGGCTGCTCGATTTCCATGTTTCTCTGCATAGCTGATAGCCTTCAGTTTAAACTGTGCTTCATAGGCGTGTCTCTTTGCCATTTTCAGGGTTGTTATGACAACAATGTTCTGCTTAAAGCACATACCTGTTCTTTTATACACAATCCACGCCCACACTTCCCCCTTTAACGTTCTCATGGCAGTCTCAACAACGTCCGCAGTAACACATAGGGCGCACCGCACTATAGGGCGCGTCGCACGTTTTGAGGGGGGGGGGGAAGACGTTTATATGCGCCGTATAGTCGTAAAAATATGTTAAATACAGGCACCTTTTAAAATGTTGTTAATTGGTCGATGAAATCATTTAAGTTTAATTCACTAATGGGTAACTTACATCCCTTTTACATCCAATTGCATTTTTTTTTTTTTTTTATCAACCTTTATCTGACACTTGTAGACTAGATCTAGCTGTTACTGATGGCTAGAGCTGTCAAATAAAAAGGCACCACAGCTTGTTAGCAGATTTAACTTTTGTTCTACTGCTGCTATTAAAGGAAAAATAATTGAGCCCCCCCCCCCCCAATTTTATCTTCCACAGATGTAAAAGTTGGTTCTGGATTGATGGACTCATTGGTGCCCAGTACACTCTCTTCTCACTCAAACCTTTCCACGTTCATAAACAGTGCAAGAGACGTAGCAGGTAAGGTGCTCAAATAATGACATTTGTCATGGTAACTCAGGTAAAGCTATGGTGTCTTACCTTGTGCTGATGTCTGTGGCTTTGCAGGGATTGAGCTGGACAAGTTGGATGCAGAAATGATTAAGCTCCTGGCCTACCAAAGGATCCAACAGCTCTTCCCCCCCAAAGTTCTCAGCCCACCTCCTCCTCCAGCCTCAAGCACTTCCTCAAAAATCCCTCCCCCGCACCATGACGGTATGAGTGATTCCGTCTTCTATGCTTTACATTTCACTAACAGTTGGTTAAAACGTTAGCTGCTCTCTCTGCAGGTCAGAGAAAGGTGAAGGCACGAGCTGTTTTCTATCCTCTGGCGGGAAGAGGAGAGACTGTAAACATGTGCTACAGGACATTGTACATAGGATCTGGTAAGACATGCAGATTGCTTCCAACTATATCAGGTTGCTAGTTTGCTCCGTAAGCTGTCTTCACCTCTGCTCATTGGACAGGTTTCCATCAACCTTGTTTTGTTTTGCACATTTTCAATTATTGCTTTTGAAGATCTTGATGGAATCTGCAAAATTCAAGTGTTCTAATTTTGCCTGAACTGCATTTTTTTTCTAAAAGGTGCCGACATGGATGTGTGCCTTACGAACTACGGTCACTGCAACTTCATATCGGGAAAACACGCCTGTATTTTCTACGATGAGGTATGAGCTGCTGTTAGACTCTGCCTCCTGTACTGCATTTATTTTCCTGTGGAATGCAGGCCTCACAAATCTGCTTGTTGTTTTGTATGTCATACAGAATACAAAGCACTATGAGCTCCTCAACTACAGCGAACATGGTACAACAGTGGATAATGTCCTTTACTCGTGTGATTTCTCTGAGAAGGCCTCTCCGCCCCCACCCAGCAGCCTTGTAGCCAGGGTCCAAGGAATAATCCGTAAGTTATTCTAAAAACGCAACTTGTATATTATAAAACTTCATTTTCTAATAAAAAAATAAAAACTAATAAAAAAAAAACTTTTGAAATTTTCTTGATAGTTTGGAAAATGAAAATGGCCATTTTCTGTGACATCATTTTTAGGTTTATTCAATGATGATTATAAAGTTAATGTGTGTACATATGGAACATTGGAGAAATTAGATGCTTCTCTCTGTTTACTGCAAGCTTTCATGCAACGGTGGTAGAAAATTGCTTATGTTTGTACAAAGATAATCACAGTTATCAGAAGACCACTCAATTCTGTGATTCAATCAGAGGAGCATTTTGTCCTATGACTCTTGTCAGAAGAACACTCTATTTTGTAACCCACCCCATGTGTTATGATCTGCTAATAAAAGGGCTGTGCAGAGGAAGTCAGTCAGAGAGTAGATGTTGCTGAGTGTAGCTCTCTCCTTCTGGAGAAGCCATTAAAAAACCCCTCTTCTGTGTGGACTCAGTTTCTCTTTTATGAACCTACATTTTTGAACCTAACAATCATCTAAAACAAAATTTTAAGTTTTTCTTTTGAGTTATTGGGATTTTTTTAAGCCCCTGTCACACATTGACGATTTAGACGTATGCCTGATGTACTGAAAATCTGGCCAAAACGCTGGCATATGTTGGATAAGTTATGGGTCAGTGTTGTATAAGTTATGAGCATTCTGAAACATGCTGGCACATGTCGAAATATGGCAAATACGTAGAGAAGCATGCTCAAAATTTCTCACCGTATGCCAGCATTTACTCATACATGGGCCATAAGTTACAGGTAAGTTATTAGATCGTTGACATACGTTAAATGTAAATTACTCATAAGTCATGCCGTCTAGTTTTTTTTAAAACCTATGAATAACTTCTCCTCCAGACTGCATCCCCATCATATATTGAAGCGAATCGTTCACATATTTCAAATGAAAAAGCATTTCCAGAAATGCTTTTTCATTTTAAGAATGTGGCTGCATAAATCCCGGCAGGATAAGTTGGTTGAATTGCCAGGTCCGACTATCGGGACATACTGAACGAGCGCAATGACCAAAACAGTGGCAGAGCTATTGAGGAAGGCCGCTGCTGCTTTAGAGCAAGTGCCTGCGTCTAACGGACCTTCGGAAACACCGACTGCTCCTGAGTTTCCCGCCGGCACGCTTACAATGTAACGCAATGCAGACGTGCACAGCGCCCCCTACTGAACAAGATGGGTAGCCCGGTCAGCAAGGACCTGAGGAAGAGCGGCTGCTGACGTCACTCTGCTGCCTCCGCCGCTCGGAATGCGTTTTCGTTTTCGAATTATGGACAGTACTTTGCTGGCAGACCACGAAAACGAAAAAGCAATGTCCGCTGTGTTTTCTCTTTGATTATGGCATAAAATGTGCAGTCTTGAAGAAAATGCAAATGCAAATAGGATGATTGATTACTAATTTCATTTATGAGTCAAACAATGCAGCCACATTCTTAAAATGAAATAACATTTCTGGAAATGCTTTTTCATTATCAAATTTTACATTTCAAATAGAATTTTGGTATGTTTTTGCTGGGGTACATTTTGAAAAATAAATCTTAAATGTCCTTTTCTTTTTTTTTAAGTGAGAGGATGAGCGGTGTTAAAGAACAAAATGAAAATGAAAACAGGATTATTGATTAATAATTTTATTTATGAGTCAAACAATGCAGCCACATTCTTAAAATGAAAAAACATTGCTGGAAATATGGTAACGATTCGCTTCTATACTCATAGGGTGAGACTGCTGCAATTGCAAACCTTCTTTCTTTTTTCTTTTTATTTATTCTGTTTTGTTTGGGCGAGTGCATCGCTGCGCAGCTTTAATTGATGCTTCGTAACGCCCGTGAAATGATGCTTGTGCATCATATCATGGGCGTTACGCAGCCAGGCGTTATGCATAACTTAGGCTGTTGTTGGACATAAGTTCTGGACTCGTTATGAATACTGTATGTATACGCTCAAAATAGAAAAAAAAACAAAGTTCAGCGTATGCCAGCATTTTAGGAGGTTCTGCGACGTCGGGCATATGCTGGCTAAATCGGCAAGGAGTGACAGGACCCTTAACCTTTTCATAACATGAGGACCCAAATTTGGGTCCTCAGCACTCGCCCCAAGATGGTTTTTAGACCCGTAACATATTCTCTGGGGTCTTGCCATCATTTTGATACCAAAACAATTAAAATAAACTCTGTAGTTCTTGAGATATATTCAATTCATTTTGGGCATGTTATTTTCAAGCATATTTCTCGAAAACAGGCCTAGTGTCCAAGAGGTAGCACGTCTCAAAACCAAGGATAACAAACTAAATCTAACCCATCAGTATTTCATGAGGTTTTCATAAAATAGAGGCATATTTTTTAAGTGTACATAGTGGTTAAACATGCGAAATAAGTTATAATGTAAAATAAGAACGAGATTAAATGCATAATACCAGAGCAAAGTAAGTAAGCATAAATGTATAGTACCAGATTAGTGTGTTCTTAGTAAATAAAATGATTTTAACAAATCATCTATAAAGCGTTAAGTTGCCATTGTCCCCTTTGATGCTGAATTGAACCGACATAAATCTGATTTAGAGAACGGACTGGTGTGACATTATAAAGGCCAAATTGCTGCTGAGATATCATCCTTCCTTCAGAAAGGACTGATTTATTTGCAATGTGGGGAACATTTTCATGACGAGTTCATATTACATTCTTTATTTTGTTTTGTTTTTTATCAGTGTGCCTTTCCAAAATAAATCAATTGTAAATGAATGAAAATAAGAATAACTTTCTAAAGCTGCTTAAATGTTGTTTTGTTTTTTTCAATAGATTTTTTTTTTGTCTAATATGCAACATCTGGTGCTTTCTGAAAAGTAAATTAAGAAATTAAATCTGCTGACTAATTTTTTGTATGTAAATGTTGGCTGTTTAAAGTAGCTCTTTTCCTTTGCAAGTAATCATGTTGGCATATTCCAGCCCCCCTCAGTCTCACTCTCTGTGATGTTTCCAGGTCGCAGCAAGAAAAGAGAGGATGACAAGGCGGTTGGTTTTATGCCAGCTGGGGGAGTGATGAGCAGTCAGCCTCGGGGCGGTGTGGAGTCGGCATGCAGCTGTAAAGTTAGCAGTTCCAGCCTCATAGGTGGCAGCGGTGCAGGCTGGGAGGGGACGGCTCTCCTGCACCATGGAAGTTACATTAAACTCGGCTGCCTTCAATTCGTCTTCAGCATCACAGAGTATGCTGACGAACTGCCAAAGGAGGAGAACGCTGTTCTTCACCCTTCCTGGTGCACAAGTTCCACCTTGAGCAGTGATGGTATGACCAGCTCTGCTTCTGCCTCCACCTCCACACCCCCACCACCCACCGCTGCCATGGTAAGCAGCCCCTCCAGCCAGGATGAGGCAGACACCAAGTCTGCTACTCCCCACCAAGTGCCCGTGCTGCGCTTCAACTCCGTTCCATAACATGTACGGGACATGTGTTCTTCTGTTTTATTTTGCACCTTCAGTGTCACAAAAAGGAGAAAACTACATTGCAGGACGGTCAGCCGTAAAAGCCGCATCCCCCCATTTCAAATTGTTTATATTTGCATGAACTTGAAGTGTTATTGACAATCCCTTCTGTTTGAGAATGACTGACAGTAACTTTGTTTTCACTTGAGACTGTTAGTACCTTGGGAAAAGATTTACTTGAGCTTATTTACTTTTTACATTATATATTAGTTATTTGTAATATAACCTTGCTGTGTCAGTCAAAATCATTTAGCTGTAAACCTTTTGCTAGTATTCCATGTGTTGTTTTTGTTATGTTTGTTTTGCTGCTTTTGCACCACAGGTAGTTATAAATTTATGTAAACATACATGCTTACACACTATGTAAACATACTGTAAATGTAGAGGATTCAGTGTTCCCCAGTTAGAGGAACTTTGAAACCATGTAGATTTACCATGTTTTTTTGTTTTTTTTACTGTACAGTCCATGAAAATTGAGATAACGTGTAGACTACCTTTAGTTTTGTGATACAACTTGTTCTTATGTACTTTCTGCTCTTGTTCATCTGTCAATACCATATAGTTTTAGCACTCATTTTAACATCATGTGTTGCTCTGTATATATATATGCATTCTTGGTCTATATTGGCTTGTCTGTTAAAAAAAACTGTAAATACAGAAAGATTTTTTAACAACCACCTGATATTTAGTTTTTTTATTGAGGATAAATTACCTGCAGATTCATCAAGAAGGATTTGTTGTTGATTTCAGAAACTTCAACAACATGGAGGGGAATGAAATGGAAAAGGTATAGCGATAAGGTGTACCACAAAGTGATAACATCTACACTGATTGGAGGGGACCCATTGGCCCTTGCCTTTTACCCAACAATATGTTTCTGCTTATTTTAGTGAAGATTCTCAGTCATCCAGGTCATAGTCATTCCAAAATAAAAAAGAGTTAAGAGCAATCCACTGGACTTTGTTTCCAAGTATGAAGACGTTTCACTTCCCATCAGGAAGCTTTTTCAATTCAAAATGTCTGGAATAGTGTTGAGTTCGAGGTTTTATACAGTAGCCAAACAAAGCCTTGTTTTTGTTTTGGAAACATGCAAATTGAAACGGACAACGCTGATAAAGTAAAAAAATCTTGGTGTTGTTTTTTATCAGGACATGTCATTTAAATCCCATATCAAAGAGGTTTGTAGAATTTCCTTTTTTCATCTGAGGAATATTGCGAAAATTAGAAATATCCTGTCCAGCGTGATGCTGAGAAACTAGTCCATGCATATGTTACTTCAAGGCTGGACTATTGTAATTCTTTACTATCAGGAAGTCCACAAACTGTAGTTAAAAGCCTTCAGCTGATCCAAAATGCTGCAGCCAGAGTTTTGATGAAAATGAAAAAGAGAGATCATATCTCTCCTATCCTGGCTTCTCTTCATTGGCTTCCTGTTAAATCCAGAATATAATTTAAAATCCTTCTTCTCACATATAAAGCCTTAAATGGCCAAGCTCCATCTTATATCAGAGATCTGATTGTTCCTTATGTTCCTAACAGAGCACTTCAAGGTACTTGACTTGAAGGTAATCCCTCACACTAAGCATTCTTGTAGCTACATTGGAGAGGAAAAACTCCCTTTTAACAGGAAGAAACCTCCAGTAGAACCAGGCTCAGTGTGAGCGGCCATCTGCTGAGGCCGACTGGGGTTCAAGGAGACAGAAGCAGACATAGAAAAAGCAGCTGTAAAAGGCGGCCCCGTCCAGGAAACACACAGCCAGGCAGACAAGCTCTGAGCCAGCTCCCATGTCAGAGGATAAAGAGAGCACATCCAGCCAGTCACAGTCAGAGAAACGGGGCTACACTGAAAACCAGGCCGATCTCAAACATCTATAAACAAGGGTGCTGATGGTAGCAGCACAGCTGATATTTCTCTCCCGGATGGAGTCACAGCCAAACAGGAACAGACCAGATGAAAATACTATGAGAAAAAGCAGAGAGAGCAGAACGTTAGAGATTGAACTAACATATTTCGTAGAGTGGGGGTAATAGAGATAGAATGAAGCAAAATGATGAAATGAGGGTCCCTATGTCCTCCAGCAGTCTATAGCAGTCTAAGCCTATAGCAGCATAACTATAGAGATAGCACTGGATAACCTGAGCTCTAACTGTAAGCTTCATCAAAAAGGAAAGTTTTAAGCTTAACCTAAAAAGTAGACAGTGTCTAAAGATTAAAAAAGCTGCAAAAACAAACATTTGAACAACAACACTATTTTTACTTTTTAAAGTTGGAGCAGTAATGCAGTCAGTATACATTCACAGAATGTTTACCTTTATATATTTTTTGCTTTACAGTGGTCCAAATTTAACCAAGTCATTGTTAAAGAAAGCGGAAAAAAACTCAATTTTAACCAGTGTTGCATTTTGTGAATTCCAAGAGCCCTTGTGTTATTTAGATGAGGGGAATTTGAAAGGAAATTGGAGTCAGGCCGTAGTGTAGTTCAAACTGGTTCCGTTAGATACCAAGTCTCAGGTGGTATCACACTAAAAACGTGAAATACCACATGCAAGTTTCTTGTAATGGTCATGCCCTTGCCACACATGAAGTATTCCTAGACTTCAGTAATGTAATGTCTATAATTTTGTAAATATAAATCTTTTTAATTTATAAATGAGGCCTATATTTGCATTTGGGCGTTATTATTAAGAAACTAAATATACATTTTTTAATATTTGTTTTAATTTTGCAGAAACAATAATATTCTAAACACTGATCTGAAATAAAATGCCTAGTTTTGAAATACAACCATAGAGCATTGGTTTCTGTTATTTTACATGAGAAATAAAGTTGTGAAAGTCTCATAGGGAACAGTAGGCAGCATCACTGGAGTTATAAAAAAAACAGATAGTGAAACAGATGGCAGTATAGCCAGCGATAAAATGACTTCAAGAGGCATTATGGAGTTTTGTAATAGTACTGTGGCCAAAACACAGAACTGGAGCACTTCACTTCAGTTGTTTCCTAGGTAGGACCCATTCAACATGGACGGGCTTAACGTCACATCCGGAGAAGCAGTGCAGGATCTTGAGACCAGAAGCACGTTCAGGAAAAATAGGCTACAGGCTTATAGATGCATCGACGCGGATCTACTGAGATGTCAGTCAATAATAATAATAATAATTGCACTTTATTGATCTCACATTGGAGAAATTTACCTCTGCATTTAACCCATCCCCTTGCGGAGCAGTGGGCTGCCACCGTGGGGGAAAGCATTTTGGGGGTTAAGTGTCTTTGCCCAGGGACTCAGAGTGGCAGTCTGTGGGAGTGGGGCTTAAACTCAGAACCTCAGGATTCCAAGATCTGTGCCCTAACCACTAGACCACCATTCCCCGCACCCCATTCCCATTCCATGCTCTGCTCATCAAACAATTTTTTTAGTTGTAAAGGGTCAAATAAAAAGGATATTTTAAAGACATTTTTGAGTAAAACTTACAAAATTTCCCTTTTAGATTGGTACTGACATCAATATTTTACCATCAGAAACATTTTCCCTTTCCTGAAACAGATTAACCATCAAAGTAAAAACAAGGGATTTTTTATTTATGCTTTCACTTAATATTTTTACATTAATTTAAATTTTTTTATATTATATTTAATTCTAGATATGTAAAATTGTCATTTTGTGAGCTTCTTCTTTTATTATTAGTTTTTTTTATTGAAATTGAATTTATAAAGATTAAATTTCATATATAATTTGCTATAATTCTAGGATGAATGCTGAAGCTGATCTCTGGATATCTGCATCTGGATAAATTTGAAATTTTGATTTTAATTGGAAAGAACACCATTCCATATGGCTGATATATTCATTAGGAGTAGGGTGGATGAAATAATGTAAATCTAACTTGAAAAAACTGCCATGCTAATTTATCTCACTTCTTCCCACTTTAAATCTCCCCTAAAACTGTATTTTTACAAATAGTGAGTTAGACCTTTTTACAATTTATTTCCCATGACACCTGCAGAATCCCTACATTTTGAGCTCGATATGGGTGGTGTTGATCCCTCATAAAGCCTTTAGGGTTTCTTTTTTCCCCCCTGCAGGTGGAGCAGTTTAATAACAATGGGAGTCATGCAGTCACACCCACACAGGTTGTGGGTGTTACCTAGACGGAATGAGACAGAGTGGAAAAGCTAAAAGACCTCAGTCTGCTGAGAGGCTCAGAGGCAGGAACCATGTCTGTTGTTCTCCTAGTCGTTGGTGTTGTCATAGGAGTTGCTTATATTTACCATCACATTGTGGTGAAGGGAGAGAGATGTACAAGCCAAGCAAAACTTCATGGAAAAACTGTGATTGTCACTGGTATGTCAAGTTACTCTTTAAGATTGGTATCTCATTTCAGTTTGTGACAGCTGTTTGTGATCTGTAGGCAGCAACACCGGCATAGGGAAGACTACAGCCATAGATCTCGCTCGGAGAGGAGCTCGAGTGATTCTGGCCTGCCGCTGTAAACAAAGAGGAGAGGCTGCTCTTGAGGAGATCAAAAGGGTGAGAAGTTTATGTTAAGCTTTTCTTGCATTACATCTATTATATAGCATATGCTATTCTTGCACAAGAAAAGTAGAAGGATGTAACTTTTAGCCATTAAGACTATTTTCTGCTTCATTAAAAATCATCCTGTTTCAGACTTTACAGGGGTAAATGCAGTTGTTTTGGTCATTGTTGACTGATCTGCCTTCCATATCTGTTGCAGGAGAGTGGCAGTAACCAGGTGGTATTCATGCAGCTGGATCTGGGGAGTCTGAAGTCTGTTCGGACTTTTGCAGAGACTTTTCTAAAGTCTGAACCTAGACTGGACATGCTAATCAATAATGCAGGTAGGACTGCTCAGTTGCTCAGTTACCTTACCATCAGCCATTCAATAATATCCTATCTGATTATTCTTAGGGCTGTATTAAGAAGTATTTCCCCTGGACAACTAAAAACACACATTGGTTTGTGTGACTTCTGTTTTAAGTTCTAATTGCAAAGTTGATCTTATGCAGTAGTTTGACAATCAAACTGAGGTCCGGCTGTTGTGAAGTGAGGACATTTTGCTGGTCCTCACAAGCTATTTAGCCATGGGTAGGTCTAAACCTAAGGTGTGAATTGGGTTCAGTTTAATGTTATGCAACTTTCCCTCTGGTAATTATAAGGTTTAGGGTTATTGTCAGGGTTAGGGCATAGAAAGGGTTGAAAATGATTGAGAATCTATGGAAGTCAATGGGAGTCAACTCATGGTCCGCACAACTACACTGTAATTTTCTGCCAGGACCTTTTCTGTTTGTTTTTTTATGGATTTTTTCCTTCAATTCCTTCAAATAAATACAGTACTTTGTACTGTGAATTTACAGACATTTCTTACAGTGTATAAGTCAGACGAAACGTGTTTGTATGTGTGACCATGTTTTTGTTACCCTGGGGGAAGAATTTCTCAGAAAAATTGTGATGCCTTTTAGTTAGGCCTACTTCTTAAGACCAACAACTGGTCCTCAACAGAGAAGTGCTCTTCTTGGGGTGAGGGTTAGGTTTAGGACTAAGGTAGGAATTAAGTTTAGTTTAGTTTTAGGGGTAGATATCTGTTGTAATGGTTAGGATCAGGGTAAGGGTTACAACATAGTAATGAATGCCAATAGAAGTCAATGGAAAGTCCCCACAAGGATAATGTGACATAACATGTGTGCCTGTGTGATGAACTAGAACTGACATCAGGATTACTGGCCACAAATATTGTAGACAAATATTTTACAGTCAGATTATCTTATAAGATTCTATGTCGGATTCAACTTAATGATGATTTCTTGATTTATCTAAATGATTATGTAAAAAGTATAACCTCAAATAAAGGTCACATCATTTATGGTAAACTCATCAACTATTCATCCTTACTGATAAATACTATTACTATGTTTTGTCCAAGGTATCTGTCTGCAGGGTCAAACTGACGACGGGTTTGGACTAATGTTTGGAGTGAACCATCTTGGTCACTTTCTTCTAACTAACCTGCTCCTGGACCGAATGAAAGAGTGTGGTCCAAGTAGGATTATCAATGTTTCATCCATGGCACACAACTTCGGAAACATTGATTTTGACTGCCTGAACACCCACAAAGCTCTGGGATTTGGAACCTCCTCCATCCATGTCTTTAAAATTTACTGCGACAGCAAACTGTGCAACGTTCTCTTCAACCATGAACTGGCCAAGAGACTGCGGGGAACCAAGGTCACCTGCTACGCGCTTCATCCAGGTCAGTAATTAACAAGTGCAAACATTTCTTGTTAAATTTATGTTTTAATGGAGAGAAAACTGTTTAACTCAATAAAGAATGTTATTGTGTGATAAGCCTCAATGTGAAGGTTTCCTATCAAACCATTTTTTGCCTTATAAGCAGTCATCTTCTCCATGGTCTCATCAGATCCTTTAGACTTTTAGCAGGAAGGAACATAGTTAAAGAGCGAGTAAACCCCCACCTGTCTTTGCATCATTGCTTCAGTTTTTGTTTGTTAAGGTTCCCTTGCAGCTTTTTATGGAGGACCAGGAGAGCCAATGAAAAAACGAAGAAAAAAAAAAAAATAATAAAAATTTAACATTTAAATCATACATTTCGAAATACAATTTTTAAAATGCGTTTTCATTTCAAATTGAGTTATTGAAGATGAATTTTACATTTTATTCATTAATCAATTGTTCAATCATACAATTTGAAAATGTATTTTCAAATCCTATTCCTGAATGTAAATTTAAAAACCATAATTCATAAAACAGATTTAAAATACCTTTCCTAATCACATATATAAAAATGTAATTCCTTATTCCATTTCTATTTTCTTTTTCCCTTTTTATTATCAATCCTTTTTGTTGTTACATTTTTTTTATACTTTAAGCCCACCATTGACCTTTTCTGTGACCCTTCTGGACCCTGAGCACAGTGAAAACCTGTTAAACCAATCACAGTTGTTCCTCAGATATAACAAAGTCCCTCATTGGTTAAACTGCAATACTTGGCCTCCAAGATGGATTGATAAATGCAATTTACAATTCCTTTTAAAGAATTAAATACAAAAAACACTTTTTAATTTGGATTTCCAATTATATTATTTAAATGTTAGATTTTGCATGGGCTGCTTTTCTTTTTCAATGACTCTACTGGTCCTCAGAAGGTTTTAATTTAATTTCTTTGTATCATATTTTTCTGTCAATTTGAAACAAGATATGAATAGCTCTTACTGAAACTTGATGCATTCCCTGATTTTGAACCAAACATTCTGATTTAATATTAAATAGTAGAAATGATGGGTTTAGTCAAGTACGGCCCTAGTCAGTTTGTATATTTATGAGGAGTAAATGGTTCAAATAACCATAAGATTACAATGCAGGATTCACCCATCTGCTGCAATAGTATAACAGGCTGCAAACTGGGTGTAACAACCTCCAGGACAATCAAATAGCAGATGCCATACGTCATCATATAACTGCGTCATTTGTCCCATACGAGCTAAAGACCAGTTAACCAAATATAATTCCTTTTTTTTTCACAGGGGCCATAAGTTCAGAGCTGGGTAGGAACACAAGTTTATTTCTACAAGTCATCCTTAAACCCATCACCACGTTCTTCTTCAAGAACACTGTCCAGGGATGCCAGACCACCCTCCACTGTGCCCTACAGGAAGGCATTGAACCTCTCAGTGGACGATACTTCTCTAACTGCACTGTTAGGAACCTCTTTGCTAAAGCCAGAGATGACGCTGCTGCAAGAAAGCTTTGGGAGATTAGCGAGAGATTCTGTGACCTTCCCTAAAGCAAAAAGAAAAGCCTGCATTTAAACTATGACACGAACTATTTTCGGTTAGCTCTTAATAGCACCAGTTGTTCTTCATAGTCTTGATAAATTAAGCTAAATGAAAACCTAGGTTCAAAACTAAGCAATGGAGAGTAGAAAGAGAGAAATATTACGATCTATCCCCAAATGTATGAGAATTAAACTACTTGAAAGAACTCCTCTGAAGAGATGAGGGGTCTTTCTCAGCTACTAGGATGTAGGAATTTTCACCACAGTGTTGAGACGTGATTTAAATGTGAACTGAATAAACTTTCTTATGTAACTTGGTTAGATGTAAAGATATTTAATGACTGTCTAACCGCTTTGTGTTCATCACATTTTAAATGTATTATTTCTGTTATAATCATTCCTAATGAATTATCATTGGACAAGGCTGTCTAAGTAAGTTTGAAAAAGAGAAGAAAAACATTAATGGAAAATAACTTGGAAGGACATTTCTCTTCAGTGGTTTCTGGTTTCACGGGTTTGGTGGGGTAACAGGATGGGTGGGGTGGCAGCGACTCAACAGCCAGTTTTTAACGAGTGATGTCAGAGAACATGCTTCAGTAGACATTTCAAGTTACATCATTAGGAAGATTTATGCTTTATAATGCAGCTGTATATATGGGTGGCTGTGCTATCATTATTTTCAGGTAAATACTAAGAGAATATTTAAATTAGCATCTGAGGTTATTTTTGCTTTGATGTGTTTTAGTTTAACTTTAAATTGAAACATTATGTAACAAATGCTTTGGTGCTTATAACTCCTAAAATCACTCCTAAAATCCTAAATTTAATCTTGATATTAAAATAAATGTAGGACACCAACACTATGGAAAATAATGTTGAGTTAGAAAGTAAGTAGTTAAGAAACTCCCACTGGAAAAGTACTGCAATGATGCTGATCCAAGTTATTTAACCTTAGATGAAGCTTCTCATTTCTCAGTTATTCAAAAATTTTTATTTGATTTTCACATGAGAAGATAACAAGTGGGGTTTACAGTAGGAGAGACTGGTTTTAGTATAATAATTTCTTTTTATAATTTTTAGAATAAGTAGCCTACTTCTAGGATTTAGTCTCAGCTTAACTAAGAGATTTGTTTTCCCTCTTTACAAAATGACTTTTAAAGTGGTTTTATCTTTAATGACTGATCTGGTTTCATTTATTTGATTGAGTTTCTGTAGCCTGTATGAAAATATTGAGTGGTCAAAAAAGGATCTTGCAGGAAGAGAACTGGCTCTACACAAAGACATTTTAACAGATAAACAACAGAGGTCCAGATATTATTCTGCCGATAAACTCATGATCTCCATCCAGTTCTCCAGTTTTTTCGTGAATTAAAGTGTTTTGTATTTGTTTTAATAAATTACAACACAAAAAAATTAATGTTTGTGTTATTTTTGTGAAATACAGTTCCTTTTGAATACTGACCCTCACTTTTCTTTCAGTTTATCATATTTTTCCAGTAATTCTATTGTTTAATAAATCACACAGTTATGCTAAAAATATTTACATCTTTAGCAGGTTTAAATTTGCATTTCTACTTATTGTAACTTAAAGTGAGTGGACTGAAAGTAATTTAAAGGATGCAGGGTCCAGCCAAAGTCCAGACTGAAATCTGTAGCAACAGGGAGGTAATTAAATTCAATTCAATTCAGTTTATTTCTATAGCGCCAAATTCACAACACACGTCATCTCAAGGCACTTTACAGTTCAACCAGATCATACAGTCAAATTGATACAAAGTTTTCTATCTGAGGAAAACCAGTTGATTGCATTGACTCATTGACTCAAATACAATCCCTCACACTAAGCATGCTTGTAGCGACAGTGGAGAGGAAAAACTCCCTTTTAACAGGAAGAAACCTCCAGCAGAACCAGGCTCAGTGTGAGCGGCCATCTGCTGAGGCCGACTGGGGTTCAAGGAGACAGAAGCAGAGATACAAAAAGCAGCTGTAAAAGGCGGCCCCGTCCAGGAAACACACAGCCAGGCAGACGAGCTCCGAGCATGCTCCCATGCCAGAGGACGAAGAGAGCACATCCACTCAGTCACGGTCAGAGAAACAGGACCACCCTGGAAAACAGGCCGATCTCCAGCATCTATAAACAAGGGTGTTGATGGAAGCAGCACAGCTGATGTTTCTCTCCAGGATGACGTCACAGCCAAACAGGAACAGACGAGGCAAAGCTACTCTGAGGAAAAGCAGAGAGAGCAGAAGGTTAGAGATTGAACTAACAGATTCTGCAGAATAGGAGAACAGAGAGAGAATGAAGCAGAAGGATGAAATGGTGGTCCCTATGTCCTCCAGCAGTCTAAGCCTATAGCAGCATAACTATAGAGATAGCTCAGGATAACCTGAGCCACTAACTATAAGCTTTATCAAAAAGGAAAGTTTTAAGCCTAGCCTTAAAAGTAGACAGGGTGTCTGCCTCACGGACTAAAACTGGTAGTTGGTTCCACAGGAGAGGAGCCTGATAACTAAAAGATCTGCCTCCCATTCTTCTTTTAGAAATTCTAGGAACCACTAATAAACCTGCAGATTGAGAGCGAAGTGCTCTGTTAGGAACATTAGGAACAATCAGATCTCTGACATCAGATGGAGCTTGGCCATTTAAGGCTTTATATGTGAGAAGGAGGATTTTAAATTCTATTCTTGATTTAACAGGAAGCCAATGAAGAGAAGCCAGGATAGGAGAGATATGATCTCTCTTTTTCATTTTCATCAGAACTCTGGCTGCAGCATTTTGGATCAGCTGAAGGCTTTTAACTACAGTTTGTGGACTTCCTGATAGTAAAGAATTACAATAGTCCAGCCTTGAAGTAACAAATGCATGGACTAGTTTCTCAGCATCACCCCTGGACAGGATATTTCTCATTTTTGCAATATTCCTCAGATGAAAGAAGGAAATTCTAGAAACCTCTTTGATATGGGATTTAAATGACAGGTCCTGATGAAAAATAATAATGGTGACGACAAGGAGGCTTTTCTACCACAGAAAATGTTACGCTGATCATTGAAGCACCAACGGAAACATCCAGAAATCCCGTCATCCAGATGTTTAGTTATTGATTTATAAGGTATGAAGATTTTTTAAATGCTTTTCTTTGTTAAAATCTAACTAGAACCAGAAAGAAATATTTCAGTTACAGCCTGTTAGTACATTACATAACTTATAGATAGAAAAAAAATACTCTAAATTTACATCTACATTGGGTATAAACAATTTGGGAATAAAGTGTTATATCATAGACTCTATTAGTCTGTATGGTAGAGATATTTATTGGAACTTTTTAAAGATACTCTCACTGGAAAAAGGTCGGATTTAGAGGCCCGATGAACCCAGTGGAAGAATTAGTGTTTGAGGCTATTGTTGATATCAACAGAACTGCTCTTTTTCTTTGCATGGAACTCTCTAAGGACAAAGTGAATTTTCCCAACTGCATGAAGGGACTAAAGTCACACCTTTTCTGCGCTCCTCTTTTTAACTAACAGGAGACGAGTCAAACCTGATGGTCTGGTCCTGGTGACTAAGCTGCTGTCGCCAGTAGGAATGTGTTTATAAGAGGTTGACTTAATCTCCTTTCAGGTTCTAAAACTTATAAAAAGATAAATAAGTCAGTACAGCTTGATTTTTAGTGTGAGAAATAAACATTCTTAGACCTAGACAATGTTTAATATATATGGGAATTTTCAAACTTTAAGTATACATTGTTTTGCAAAGATGGGTTTTAAAACAAATATTGCAAAATAAGGCCTTACAATGGCCGCTCCCATGTGTTTTTTTTTTAATGTTTGGTCATGTCAGTATGTGTCAGTGAAACTTTAAAAAAAAATATTTTCTACTGCAGTTTTATAACTGGGATGTGTTCCAACCTTTCTTCAACTCAGTTTACGACTCATCCATTTTAAAAAGTGTGTGTCTACAAAGTGTGGAGTAGTGTTCCTGTGTGACATAGAGGTACAAATAAAAAAAGATAAGAATATCGTGAAAATAGCCATTATTCATTTCAGTAAGAGAAACTCACGTTGTATAGGTTTATCACATGCAGAGTGTAATGTGTCTCATTTAAATATGACATAAAATAAAGAAAATTATATTATAAACAGAACTATCATCACCTTAAGATATATATTCACTTCTATCCACATTAAGTTCCAGTTTGGGCCTATTTTTGCATGAATTTAAACATCAATGCAAGATGATTTTCAAGCATAATCCATTAATTTTAGGTAAAGTTTCAAGGAGTTTAAAGGAGGCAGGAGTCGTGAAAATAGTATTGAAATAAAAGGGTCAGTGGTTCTCATACATCCATCCATTATCCGTCACACTTCTTCTCTCTTCTTTATTCTGTCCCCTACCACCATTCAGGGATCACTTTCATTTAAGAGGAGATCTAGAGATCTAAGGAGGGAGATCTGGGCTGGGTTAGCAATGCAGAATTTTCTGCTCCAGTTTGCAGATTTTCCCTGGCTTAAATTTTTTCTATGATACTTTTCTGCTCCACTAGATGGCGATCGTGCAGAGACTGGCCCAGAGAAATGCTTTCTTGTATTATGGTGTTATGATGTTATTAAATACAGGATAAAAAAAATTGTGCGCTGTGCTTACTGCTATTTTTCTGTGAACAATTGTTAAAAAGAGTCTTAATCTGTGTGCTGGCAACAGAGAAAGATCAACAGAGAGAACTGATCTGCTGACCCACAATCTGAATAGTTGAGGAAATTAATTAATCATTTCCATAAAAATCATATAATTATTAGAAGATCAACTTATTCATTCTTAAAAGGTTAATGGCATGCCTCTTGTAGCACAATTTTATCCAAGGTAGATAAAAAGAAGAAAAATATAGAAGCTGACATAAAATAATAATATAAAGTCTGTGCCTTAATAGAAGGAAGACGTTAAAGAGGTGAGAATTTCTATTTTGTTCAAATAAATATCAGATTCAAAATAATCGACTCCTTAAATGGTCATCTAGAAATGTACTTGATCCATCCATCTTCTCTGGCTTTTCATTGCTGCAAATAGTGCTTCTCACTCTTTAGGCTGGGGATTTAAAAAATGCTGGAAATCTGTTTCAAAATCTGCATCTTAATCTCAGCGCTGTGACCCTGGAACTGATTTAGCTTCCATTCCTCCTCTTTTTTCCTCCCAGAGTTGTGCAGACAAAAGCACCAATTCTCTGTCAAATTTGCTTTCTTCAACTAAACCTCTTAAAAAAATCTTATATGCTAAATTTAACAAATACAGGCGCCTTAATTTTGGGATGTAATAGTGCAGTTTTGAGTTCCATTCCCTTCGCCTTACCATTCCATTAAAGCAAGTGGATAAAGAGGGTATTAGTTAGAAGCCCTATTAATAGCCCTGAGCAAAAATGATTATCTATACTTTATCAAAGTGGGTCCAGAAAATAACGTTTTACAAGGAATTCCATTGTGAAAGTATGCTATGGAATGAGGAAAACATGTAAAATAAAAGAACTAATCAGTATGGTGTTCTTTAATGTAGAGAGAATAATTATCGATAAGATTAAATGTGATGAGAGTTAGATATGGATTAAACAGTGGCGGATCTAGGGGACGGCTACTGGGGCTACAGCCCCGGATGTGAAGCTCTGACTGACCGACCAGGCATTCTTTGCCCCGGTGTTGTATGGAATTCTGTTCCTTTGTGTCGGAGGCGCGCATTAAAGCCAAAGAGGCAGACATGGAGGATGGGACCATTTTCACTGCGCTGCTGATTGATTTCTCCCTAAAAACAACTCCTATAATCATGTCACAGTTTAACATCCAGTTTAATCAGCAGCTGTTCTTTACAAACTTGTAAAATAGATAAATAAACGAGGTCCTTTTTAAGCTGTTTTGTATTGTTATTTTAAATGCCAAGAGAATCTGTCTTTTTCCAACTTTTGTCCCTTCAGTCTGACACAAATAAAAGTCGGTCACCAAACACAAAACTGTGTTACAAAACTGTGTCACTAATAGTGAGTATTTATCATTTTTCATTGGTGATATAAGAGGATGGAAACTGACTGATTGCAGGACATAAAACTAAGACTTACTGAAAAGATGAGTGTAGACTTTCAAGTAAATGTAAAATGTTATAGATTACTTGTTAGAACTGTATTTACAGTCATATGTTTATATTACTGTTTTATATATTATTCTACTATTTTTCAAGGCTGCACTTTAAAAAAATGAAATTGTCCAGAGAGCTGTTTCTAAACGAAATTTCTTTTTGTTTTACTCTGTAAAC